GTTGTTTAAAATTTGCTATAATTAATATGGAGGGAATATTCAGTATTGGATGTAGAGTTCATACTTTGGACATAGGAATCTATCTTGCATGGTCACTGTCAGTTTCACCTGAAATTATTATCTGAAGATTTCTTGGTGTAAAACTGACAACCAAAAGGATGCTTCCCCAATCACTACAACTAGCACATGCAGGGGAGGTTTAAAAAATATTAATAAATAATTCCTCCAAGGCAGTACCCCTCTTCTTTGGGAGGGGACTGGGTTCATTGCCAGTGCCTGTGGCATCCCCAAAAGGGGAAGTGCCAAAGGGGCCTGGCCAATTTTTCCACAGTATTGCCAGTAAACCCACTTTAAACTGACCTTGTGTCACATCCGATAACGACATCAATGCACTGAAAAAAAAACACTACAATCTTGACCAGTCTAGGGTTAACCATTATCTTCCCCACATCCCCATAAACTGTGCCTCTTACTCTGTAACCCTCTACCTTGAGTGGCTGTTGGGCCTTGTACAGGGTGAACAGGGTAGTTAAAAAAAACAATCACCATGCAATGTTGATTTCTAAACACACAATAGTGATTTAATTTCTTTGCCATGTTTCAGTGAGATTACTTGTCATTTAAATACCAGTCAGGATGACCTACACCCATCTTTTGTTCTCAACAAAAACCCTGTCTATTGCTGCTGTTTACAAATCATTAGCCTATATTGGTTAGATATGTATGGATGTGTTCTCGAGGAAGACCATTCTTGTTTCAAGTGATAATAGACAACTGCTGCAACACTATTTCCCCAGGCTTTCTTATGAATTCTCTTAGAATTCTAGATCACTATTTGACAAGATATTAACCACTTTGTATATGAAGCTTAACATTTTGAGTTGAATTTTTCTCTATGTTCAATATATATGTTTAATAGAGAAGCATTGGATTGTGTGCAAAAAAGAAGTTGTCTTGAAAGATATTTACTTATTTAAAATAAACACCTTTTTACATTCTTTACATTGTTCGAACTGTTGTCATCATCTTCAATGTCACATTCACAATGTTTCAGCCACTGTAGACTCTGGCCTTCTTCAGGATCTATCCATATTTCTGAGATAAGGTATTGTAACTATTTATCTTATTCAGACTATTGTCCTCATCTTCACTGTCACATTCACAATGTATGCTCTAGCCTTCAAGTGATATTTGTTGGAATTTTGAACCAAAACTTTTATTTAGTCCACAGGGATGATATTGTTCTCATTCCATGTAGCATGCCTTGTTTTTTTGATATCTCAGTTTCAGTTAATTCCTTTCAGTAACTCAACACTCCAAGTTTTTGTTCCATCTGCTGAGGCCACAACTCTTAGGTCAAGGGTCAAGTCACGTTTTAGATTAATCAACCAATGTTTTTATTCACTGGGCCAAGGATATGAGGACAACAGTCTGAACAATGTAAATAGTTTAAATAATATTATCACATCTCGGAATTATGGACAAACACCTTTTTCTTTCTTTTTTTTTTTTTTATTATTATTAAATATGGATGGACCAGTTGATGTGCCTTGTAATCATTAAGAAGGCTGAAATTGTCATATAAAATATGCATCCTGTGACAGAAATCGAAACTGTATCCTATACAGAACTGTCATATAGCCTGATGTGCTTTTACCAATTTCGCCACAGAGGATTGTTTCGGTTAGCAAGGTCAATTTTACTGTTTTTAAACTACAATTTTCCATTTTCTCACGTACATTCATATCTGCTCGATGTATATCCAAATGTAAACAAATGACACATTATGAAATGGACAAAGTCCGACAATTATTTTAAGACATTTTTATGTTTATTTCTCTGACATTCAGGCCCATAAATGTTGTTAATACTGTTTATTATAAACAGAGCATTTACTTAAATATTTGTATCTATAAAAAAAGAATGTATAAACATAAAAATGTCTTAAAATAATTGTCAGACTTTGTCCATTTCATAATATATATATATATCTCCAGGTAAAATGAGAACAAACGGAGTATGATTCCACTGTACGTAAAATTTAATTTAAGAGTTCAATACAGAGCAGTTAAAACGGTAAACGTTAAAAATTGCTACATGATTACAATCATGTTTCAACACCACTGGCAGGCGAAAGATTAATTTAATTTCAAAAGCAGAATACTTTAAAAAAATTGGCTTGTAGGCTTTGCCATGATTAACCAATTGAATGTGACCTATATTTTTTTTTTAATATAGGTCATGACATGAAGTTGTCTGCATATAAATCCTAGACAATTTCCTTATGGACAAATACAAGTTGTTACATTATTTTATTTTGTAAGATGTATTGAAGTCTGACGTTCAACTTTCCAAATAAGTAAAAGTTAAAAGGGGTAAGGAGGTAATTTAACACAATTCTAACCAGTTATATGCTCATTCAGCTTCTTACATAAAATTTTATAGTTGATAAATATAAAGCCCCTTTAAAAAAACTTGTAAATAACTGTTAAAAAGACAAAAATGGTCAAAAATACAGAACTACATAGGTAAATTAATATGCAACCATCAAATAAAGAGTATCCATATAAAATGTTAACAATAACAACTACTCGGTGTTAAATGTTGATAATAACTAAACAACTGTACATCCATATAAGATGTTGATAATGCAAAGCAATATTAAATCAAAATGAATCTTACAAATAGAATAGTAAGCCATATTAGGTGCAATGCAGTTCATCTCGTGATTATTACTATAAGAAAAAGTATTATCAAATTCAAAGTTTAAACTTATTGTAAGGCAAAAGATAGATTATGCCTACAATTTAGGTCAATTCACTTCTTTGGTTTAATAAGGAGTTTTTATCAGAAAATTTGATAATTTCTAATTTTTCATGTAAGCATAGAAAACACGGTTCATTTTAAGATCTATATGTTCTAGCTATTTTTAAATTTTCTATTTTACCATAACAGTTTTATTAGCTTCTTTTAAATTCCAAAAATATTTATTAATATACTATTAGTGAAGGATATGTTGATACCACTTAGTCTTAAAAGAATTTTTAGTACTACCAATATAAAAATTTTCAACAGTCAGATTTTCTATTGTAGAAATAATACTTAGATAAACAAGCGAGGTGGTTAAACATTGGTTTTGTAATGGGCATTCGTTAGAATTCTTGCAATTACATTAGTTAATATTATTAACAGTATTTATCTTTGAATGAGCATTATTATCCAAATTTTTTAATTGGTTTATTATGTTTCTTTATAATCTTCTCAAGATTATCAGTGCAGCTATGACTTAGTTTTATTGTGTTTCTGTTAAATATTTTACTAAGAGGATACTTTTAGGGAAATGTATATCAATTAAATGGAACTTCTGACCTAACTTAGTACTGACTAATTGGTTAAATGGGTGTGTGTATTAAATGATTTTCCTATTCCTAAGATCAATATTATCATATTTTTATACTTGATTTCAATGTACTTATAACCACTATTTTTTTAAAGCAGTATTACAAACACTGCTGTATTTATCAAACACATCTTAGTTACATGAGTTGTTGCTAATTCTACATTCTATAGATGAGGGTATGTGTTTGATTACAGATGGAGGGTGGTTAGAATTGGGGTGAATCTATATTGGGTTACCATTATTTTTCATATAGGGTTAGAATACACCATTAACAAGATATAATGTAGCATCAAGAAAATCAACTCATTTAACATTAGTAGCTACTTTAACCTTAAGATTTAAGTTTTTTAATTCCCGATGAAGCATTTTCCTCAGTTTGTCAACCTTAATTTTAGTAGAATTTCTTACTACCATAAGATCATTTCTGTATAACGATATATTATCAATATTAACATCATCATAAGCACTAAGATTATATAGGATAAATAAACCCACAAGGTCAGAAAACTGCAGAATCTAATGATCTCATAGAAATATCAAAGTAATCATCAGAATTTTTAACCCACTTTTCATTGTTTTTAATGAGAACAGATCTTCTACAGTTCATTATTATATTTAGGTCTTCACTGAAAATGTTAGAGTATTCTTTGGCAAATTCCAAAGCTAATGTAAAAAGATCCTTGGAAATAGAGGGGTAAAAATTTATGATATCAAATTGGATAAAAGAGCAACTTCTTTTGTTTTTAATTCCTTTAAACCAATTAATGACATAAGCGGTCCCAGTCCATTGTAAAAGTTCAAGGCGTTGTTTAATTTATTTGTGGATCCAGGATAACTTTGATTATTTTTCCAATTCCTGGTCCGGAAGGGTTGATAATCCTTGTGAGTAATATGATCTCAAACTTTGATTTATGAGCTTTAATTAGGACATATGATTCTTTGGTACAGTGCTTACTAATCTTCTTGCTAATTATAAGTTTATCAATTATATTTTTACAACATTCCAACCACCTGAAGAAGGCCGAAGCGTATAACAGCTGAAATGTTGTAATAAATATGGCGACAAAGATGAGGACAAGAGTAAATAATAATCACAACTATCATAATAGTGGAACAATTCATATTATTAACAGGGTTTGTTTTTTATATATATATATATATATAATATACACACACACACACACACACACACAGATATTAGAGTGGATCATTAAGTGCATTAACAAAGATTGTTTTGAAAAAAATATTTGTGTAAAATTTTTCATTAGTATACTTGTCATAAATCTTTGTATATGTGTCTATATTTGCTTTTGAGAGATGATAAAGATTTGAGAATTTTTTTTTTTACTTTTGTGACAAGACCATTACAGGACTGCTATATATATATATATATATATATATATATATATATATATATATATTTATTTCCATGCCAATATAAGTTTTCTATGAAAAACAAAGTTGCATCCAATTTCCATTTTAATAAAGGAAATTTCCTCGTTCTGCTGCTCTCTAATTCTGAATAATGATTGTTTCTTTTCTTTATCCATTCAGGTCATACAAGATGAATTCAGAGCTCATTAACCAGATTGTTGCACGGATGTCAGTGATCCGACAGATGCACTTTAACCAACCAGTGAAAGCCACGGTGTTTGGAGTTTCCCTGGGGATTGCACTGGTTGGGCTGCTCTCAATCATCTTACGGAAAAAGGGAAAGAAAAAGAAATCTGGAGACAGAAAGACGAATCCTCCGAGTAAGCTGTCAAAATCCAGGTTAACTCATGACAATTCTAATGGAGGTATGTGAAATAATTGGCCATGGTATTAAGCAGGACTGACAAAATTATCAACAAGCAGAATTGGTAAAAATTCTCACTAAACAATAATAAAGAATAAAAAGAACAGCCCAAAATAATACTTATATATATATATATATATAATGAAATGGACAAAGTCTGACAATTATTTTAAGACCTTTTTATGTTTATACATTCTTTTTGTAGAAACAAATATTTAAGTAAATGCTCTGTTTATAATAAACAGTATTAAACAAAATATACCGGCCTGAATGTCCAGGAAATTTTCATAGAAAATATTCGTTCTCCAACAGTAATCGAACCAGTATCCTATATGGAACCGTCATATAGGCTGATCGACCTTAACTGATTGAGCCACAGAGGAGTGTTTGGTTAGTAAGGCTGATTTTACTGTCTTTAAACTACAATCTTCCATGATTCTCTCACATACATTCATATCTGCTCATGGCGTATCCAAATGTAAACAAATGACGTCACACATTATAAAATGGACAATGTCCGACAATTATTTTAAGACTGTAAAATCGACCTTGCTAACTGAACACTCCTCTGTGATCTATTTGGTTAAGGCACATCAATCTATATGACAGCTCCGTATAGGATACAGGTTCTATTCCTGTCGGAGGAAGAATATTTTCTATGAAAATTTCTCAGACATTCAGGCCAGTAAATGTTGTTCAATACTGTTTATTATAAACAGAGCATTTACTTAAATATTTGTATCTATAAAAAGAATGTATAAACATAAAAATGTCATTCATATATATATATATATATATATATATATATTTATTTATTTTAAGATAAAGAGCAAATAGGAAACATCTATCAATCTACCACGTTTCAGTTTTATTAAAGTTACATCAGAGAATGAGATATGGAGAAAAAGAAGATATAAATTCTGGCATTTCTACTTTTGTGTTTGATTTTCATTGGTAAACCAGGTTTTACATACATTTTCTTTGTCTCCATATCTCATTCTCTAATGAAGCTTTAATAAAAGTGAAACATGGAGGATTGATAAACGCTTTCAATTTCTTCTTTATCTTTGGATTCCAATCCTTATTTGATCTATATTTGATCCCCACTACATATATTGTTGGTTAAATATATAAATAACAGCTAAAAAGGAAATCCAACATTTAACTTCAGTACCTTATCAATTGTTTTTAATGAAACTTATATATTCTTTATCCTATCATGCTATTGGATTCTGATCTATTTTTGATTTGTATTTGATCTTAGATAGGGAAGAGGTTATAGTAGTTCCGAGAGAAAAGTGTATATATTAAAAAGAGAGAAACTGCAAATGTTTTTGATTGTAATGTGAATTTTTTTTAAAAATATATATTATACTTTATTTTCCATAATCTTCATCAGGCAAAGAGTGGGTATTTCCACATATTATTAAAAGGAATTAAATTTTCTTATGCTTTTCGATGTTATATATTCTCGATATTAGACATTCTCTTTTTTGTGTGTTAGTGACCCAAATGTCTTCCTTGAACTGGCAGTGAAAAAGTTCTGCATGAAGGGTAATAAAACAATTAAGACTGGTCCGAGAAAGGGTGAAAAAGTTATCTATATTTTTATCTTTTAATGGCTTCTGTGTGTTCTTAGGTCTATTTCCATATTATTTTCTGCTTATATGTTATTTTTATAGATAAAAATATTTAAGTAAATGTTTTGTAATAGTATTAACAACATTTACTAGCCTGGATGTCCGAGAAGTTTCATAGAAAATATGTGCCCTTCAACAGGAATCGAACCTATATCCTACAAGAAACTGTCATATAGCCTGATGTGCTATACCATTTAGCTACAGAGGAAGTGTCTGGTCAACAAGGTCAAATTGTAGTTTTTAAACTACAAATAAGATACACTTTGAGTGGATATTATTGATCAAGAGAATTCATGGAAAATTTGTAGTTTAAAAACAGTAATTTGACTTTGCTAACCAGATGCTTCCTCTGTAGCTAAATGGTACAGCACATCAGGCTATATGGTTCCATGTAGGATACAGGTTCGATTTCTGTCAGAGGACACATATTTTCCATTTTATATAAAATGCAAGTCAAAAGCAACTTTAAGACAGTGAAAAACCAAAAAGTTTACGAAATATAATATTCACATGCAAAAGGGATACAGTCAAGTGATTATACTGTTCTGACTTTAATGTAAGGAACAATAGAAATATGTGGGATAAGATTGGTTTGTTTATATTGGTTATGAAGAAATCCCAGCATGCATCTGTAGAATTTGTCTGTAAATTTGCACACAGAAGATTTCTAGCAATCTATCCAGAGATTGTCATCAACTTGGTATAACTCTGACAACTGAAAATATATTTTCTCTATTCAAAGATTATAACCAATAATCATTTTTATTTGCTTGTGTGCATTTCCATTTTCTAATTAACTTAGACCTATTAAGAGTGTTTGATTTTTATATATATATATATATATATATATATATATATATATATATAAATTAAAAGTTTGTCACTTAGCAGATTGATTGATTACCTTCAGCATCCCAACTCCAGAGATTTGTAGGTGAACCTGTCCGTCCACTCTTCAGCGGGTAGTCTGCATAAATTATTTTTTAACTTAGCATGAAAATGAGAAAATCGGCAGTCAGTTGCTGAAACCTCCTGACAAGTGGACCAAATGATTATAAAAATGTTTGTCTATGTAACACTGGAGTTGAGGTGCTGAATATAACATCAATCGACTCGGTGACAAATATTATATTTGTAATAATCCTATATATATAATTTTTCCAGGGCTAGAAGTCCTAAAAACTTTAGAGAAAAGTGTGACCTCTGCATTAAAGAAAAAATATTAATAATCAAATACAATAGACCTGATGAATTACTCAATCACCATAATGAAATCATCTTCAAATGCAGACATAAAATCTGGTTCAAAATAACAAACTACACCTAAATAAATTTTTTTGGAAGTTTTGCCCATGGAAACTAAGGGATTTTAAATCATCAAGACACCAAATAATACCTAATTTCTATATATCGAATTAAGAACTTAGGCTAAACAATTCATGGGTAAATGTGTGTGTGTATATATGTGTGGTAATGCAATTAATCATTTTTGTGTGTTTATGTGTATGGGTATATAGAGGTATACATATATAAATAGGTGTATATATGTGAATTTATATATATTTATGTGTATGTATATATAAGTACATATTTATGATGTATATGTGATTATTTTAAGTATAAGTCTTCGTACAATTGGATGTTTTGCTTGATATTATTATATGTAATGAGAATATGTATTTGTATGTATATATTTAAGTTTTTCATTTACTTTGCAGAATTTCCCATCAGAATAAGGTTACTAAACAAATTTACCAAGCAACATTATTATTTTTATTTTTTTATTTTTTCAGATTTTACTCTTTATTTTTTATATTATTATTATTATTATTATTATTATTATTATTACTAAGTAATTTGATTATTAATATTGGATATAATTTTTCTTTACCATTTATAATTTTAATATAAAATTTAAAATTTAAAATTTAAATTTATTTTTTTTTGAACTTATATAATAATTGTTTGTTAATAATATTAATTTTTATACTTTTTTTTTTTTAAATTATTTTTTTATTTTGTTAATAATCTTTAAGATATTGTCCTGTATTAATTACAAATTGTATTAATCAAGATTAATGATATTATTAATATTACTAATATATATTATTTTATTCCTACTTTGTTGATAATCTTTAATAGTTTATGTATTAACTATAAAATATATTGATATCTGTCTTACAAGTGTCACTGTGATATGCCTACATATGATAACTCACTCACTTTTTCTTTCTTTCTTCCTCCTCCCCTGCCTTACAATTTGTCATCATCTTTTTTCCTTTTACTCAAGTCCCAAGCCCTGTCTAAAAACTTATTTAAGAGCTAAAACTGTCTGGCCTCTTGATTGAGTACACTTGAACCTACGTAACTTATTAAAGATGGTTTAAACACAATCCTATCCTGACCTTTCATTTCTAATTTAGATCATTCTATGCTCCCTCCCCCCTCCCACACCCCCTCTGTCACCTTATATCAATCTAAAACTATCACTCAAAAACTTGTATCAAAAATAAAAGAAACCAAATTCCTTTGTAACTAAAGATGTGACCTGATGAACCAGGATAAATATATTCTCTGGGGAAATGAATTATACTCATAGAAACTTAAGGTTGTCTCTTTCTTAATTAGTTTATTTATATATGTGTGTGTGGTGTGTCATCAGCATACAGTCCTGTTTCGCTGTATCACAGCTCATCAGTGCAACTAGACAACCAAATGCTTCAAGCCAGGAATGAAACCTGAGTCGGAGTTTCTACACTCGGCTGAAAGAAATGGTGAATTCTAGCATATTGTTTTTATGAATGTAAACAAATACCACTCAGCCAGAATGCTCCATTCATTAACTGAAGAGTGTTTTTATATATATATATATATATAAAGAAATATAGTCTTAAGATGTACTAGATTTATGGGATAAAGTGCTCAATATCAGATATAGTGTGTGTAAATATAAAAGTGAACATAGAACATCTAGCATGAAATAGACTGTTGCCTCTAAGTGTTGACTTCTATGTTCACTTATATATATATATATATATATATATACACACACACACACTGTGTGATGGATAAATTGTTGTCTAAATTATGCAAAAATGAAAACTACACAAAAATATCTTGAAATACTAAAGAGTAAATTTATTCAACAAAATCACTATTGGCTTCAACTACAGCCTCCACATGACTTTGGAATCTATTGCAACTCTTCTTGATGGTCTCCTTGTTTAAATTAATGAATGCTGCCATAATCCTTCTCTTCAGTTCATCTTTGGTGTTACAAGGAATTTTGTTGGTCTCACTCAACTGCACCCCACACATAATAATTAAGGGGGCTGCAGACTAGGGAATTAGGTGTGCAGATGTAAGCGGGTAATGTGGTCACAGAAATTGTCTGACAGCCATGACTGGGTTTTCCTGCTTCTGTGGCATGTTGCAGAGTCCTGTTGCCAGCAGCTACCCTCTTGACCCAGAGCAGCACTACCTCCACAAGGAACTTAATGTAGGCCTCAGTGTTTAGTTTGAGGCCCTCACCAACAAATTCAGGAATTCTTTTCTTAGAATGATCAGAGAGAGTTTTCCAAGCTGACATACCTTTGTAATCACCAAATGATTCATCCAACCCTTTCTGTATTCTCTGCATTGTTTGACTTCCAAACACTCAGAAATGTTCATATTGTAGCTTCTGGTGCAAATGCCAAGTAGTACAGCATGCCATTTCCAAATTTCTGGTGGAGTGAATTGCATCATAGTGCTCTTTTTCTCACAGATGATTCCCAACTGATCCTATTATACTGTGCAGTTGACAAAACACATGCACAAAATTAAAAATATAAAATGGCGACAATTTACCCATCGCACCCTGTATGTATATAAGAGAAAAGGAAAACTCATGTTAGCCAACATGTTTTTTCCTTTGTCAAACTTTATCAAGACAAATGCAAGGACTTTCTTTTGTAACAAGTTTATATATACAAGAGCAAAAATGTTATTGGTTTTTCAAATTTTTTAACTTTAAGGACACTCATAAATATTTAGCAGTTTAGATGAAATGTTAGGCAAGCTATGGGGGATGCAAAAATGTCTAATAAACAAAAGAGTGAGTAAGTGATGTTCTAGAAATGTTTTTTTAATTTTTTTTGTGCAAATTAGTATTTAAATTAATTTAGTTTAGTAGTTTAATTTATGTGTTATCTATTTTGAATAACATCAGGTCATAGATATGTCTATATCTCTGAGATAAGGTATTATGATTACTTACATGATTTATGTTATTCGGACTGTTATCCTCATCTTCATTGCCATACTCACAATGTTTCAGCTGTTGTATGCTCCGGCTTTCTTCAGGTGATTAGAATTTCAAACTAAACCCTTTATTTCATCCACTGGGGTAAATTCTTCTAGTTCCACGTACCATGCCTCTTCCTGATCTCTCAGTTATTTCCACTTGATCAACTCTTCAAGTTTTGGTTCACCACTGCTGTGGCCTGGTATTGAATCCACAACTATTTGGGCCTAGTCAACGGATCTAATCAACGCCTTTATCCTAGAAAGAACTAGAACAATTTACCCTGGTGGATGAAATAAAGGGTTTGAAATTCCAGTCACCTGAAGAAGGCCAGAGCGTACAACAGTCGAAATGTTGTGAATATGGCAATGAAGATGAGGATAATAGTTCAAATAATGTAAATAATGAAGTCATGGGTTTAACTGTTTCCATTTAATTTTTCTTTTTTAACATTTGTGTAGCCATGTATCTTAGCTTCATTGTGGTTGCTATCTCTTCTCAGCTTTTTGGCTGAGGTCAAAGGATAGTATCAAAGTGCACTCGGGGGCAACTCCATCAAAGGACACTCACAATTGGGGAAAATTATACTGAGAGGAGCCCAGCATTGGGGAATAGCTGACCGAGGCTGTGCCCTCTCATTGTACCAGAGAGAGTGATCGGTGCTCACACCAAGGCCAACGCAACTGACGGTTGTGGGGGCTGTGGGGAATTTTTGTTCTTGGCCCTGTTGTACATGCTTGGGTCCCCACCTTAAAAAAAAGACCTTGTGTCACAACTCGTCTTAGTGGAGAGACTGAGTAAATACCTAGTATCTGTTCTTCTCAGCTTAATCTGATTCTCTATCTTCCTCTCTCTCTCTGCTTCTATCTTTCTTTCTTTCATTTTCTCACTGAAAACAGAAGAGTTCATTATTTATGAGGTATTGGCAGGGTGTTACGGTTGTGCAAACTAACAAAGGGAGAAACAAGTACAGTTATAATAGGATAGATACTGGTAACATAGAAATCAACATTGCATTGTAACTGTCAGTTTCACATTTTACACTTGGTCTGAAGATTTTTTCAGGCTTGAAACTGATAGACATCATCCAATGTTCATTTCTATACCAACACAAATTCCTCTATGCAAACGAGCAGAAAAATAAAAAAGTTATTTTGCTTTTAAAATTTATCTACATTTCTGAAAGACAGAGTACCTGGTTTCATTTGGGATGGACACATTGTTAATGACCTTTTGTTAATTCTTGTGTTCTTTTCTGCAGATGTTTGTTGGCCCAAAGGTAGTACCAGTCCTGCCTCTGTCAGATCCCTTGCAAGAAACAAGTCTCTTTCAGCATCCACTTCAAACACAAGTCTAGCATCCACAACTTCCACTCTAACACATTCTGCAATAGATACCTCAAATCTAACGGCAGCCCAGCTCTGTCAATTGGGTAAGTACAAACCTTTTTTTTTTTTTTTTAACTGCTTCAGTTATTTTTATTTATTTATATTTGATTTAAGTTATTTATATTCTCTGAAAGCACTGACTAGCATGTCTTTGATTGTTTACTTACTCTGTAATATAAATGTATAGAAACCATTGTGGTCACAAAGTGAGGGATCAGTTTATATATTAATTGTAATGTAGAATTGATACCCCACTTCATACCCACATTATAATTTCTACTTTAGTTTCTCATTTTAATTCTGAATGAATCTCCCTCTTCTCCCTTATAGCTATTGGTTAATTATTAAGACTTGTATATTTTCTGGCTTTAAAAAAGAAAATGAATGAGTCAATCAATCACGGAACTAGTGATTAGCTACAAAGGCATGTCTTTCAGATTTATTTAGGTTCTCTGGAATATAAATGCATTGAAATTACCGTGGCCACAAAGTGAGGGATCAGTTTATATATTGATGGTAATATAGAATTGATCGCTTCATATGCACATAATTTCTTGGTTGCTTTCTCAAAGAAAAAGAAAAAAAAAGATTCTTGCAATGTAAAAGTATTTTCTGGCTTTAAATAACCTACAAAGCGTTGATAAGCTATAGAAAACAAATCACTTAAAGTAATGTCAATATAGCTGATCTCATTCAGTTTCCGCACGCTTTTGATTTTCTTTTTAAATATCAGCTAAGGAAAGTGAACTGGACACAAATATACTGTAGATGATTTAGCAATCAGTGCACTTTCTATAAATTTTTGATTTCATAAATTGCTGTCTCTGGTAATTTAAATTAGCATTTTTTTAAATCAAAATTATGATCACTAATGACTGATGCATTGAGTGTTTCATTTTGTTAAAGATTTGTTTGTGTCATCTTTTAATTTGATTTCCTTCAGGTTTCTCCTGTCTAATCCTTGTGGCATTCATTACAGGCTCTTTCAAAGGGTTATTAATTTTTGTATTAAGTCTCTTTTTGTTTTAGTACTTTTAACAAATTTTATGTTAAGCTTAGATTAATTTTTTTTTCTTTTTCAATTGTTGTGATAGATTTTAGAGGTAGTGTAATGTATCATGTTTCATTAAGTTTATATTGTTCATTTATTTTTAAAACTTTGATGAGTTTTCTGTTTTGTGCTGAATATGAAATAATTGGGTTATTAGAGGAGCTTAAAGGTATTTTCAATGCATTTCTCCTCATCACCTAAATACTGACACTTACAAATTACAAAGTGTTCTTAAATAGAATCCAGTAATTATTCTGTATTTTATTTTTTTGCTATGGTGGGAATAGAAATTTATGAGATCATCTTTATTATTAGATTTAAGATAGGCACTTAGTTCTAGGTCATTATCAGCATTTACTGATAATAGTTTGAGATCTAAGTGTCTATTGTAAATCTACTAATAAAAATCATTTTGTAAATTTTTATTCTTACTGCAACAGCAAATGTACATATTCAAAATTTTATTTTTATTTATTTATTTTTAAATTTCCCAAAAATCAGAAAAAGTTATCATCAATCCCATGGCCAGATGTGTAGCTGAGTACCTGACCATTCCCCCGACCATATGTCTTGGTTGAGTGCCAATGTCTGTGCAAATGATCTTCCAGTTTGCTCAGTGATTTCCCTCATCTGCCTCTTTTGCTTAAGATGGTATATTGTAGGATGGTAGTGGAAAGATTGTTGGCTCTTATGACATGTCCATGCCATTTCATCTTCCTCTTCTTGATGGTTGTTATGAGGTCTTTGAACAGGCCTGTATCTTTCTTTTTTTTTTTTTTTTTTTTTTTTTGTTGTTTTTTAATCATTTCACCTCATGCAAGGCAGTAAAGCCACTAAGGTGCAAGGGGATACTGAGTGTGTAAGTGATGTAATAGAATAACCAGTCACCCTCATGAATGATTACAATATAGGTAGTAAGTACCTATAAAGTCAACTGTCTACCAGAGACTTGGAAAGAGTGAGAGCGAGAAGATGCATGCACGTCCAACCTTCTAATTAGTAGCACTCACTACTAGATTGACCTGTGTGTATAACTGTACTGTATTTCATATTGTACTGGTTGTGTACAATAAACCTTTCTTCTATTATCCAACTGGTGTTAAGTATTTAATCCCTTAGCACGGAATATGACAAAGACCACACTTGAAGACTTCCAACAACAGCAACAATTAAAATGGATAGATCATGTGACAAGAAGAGAAAATAATGATATAATCATGATGTTGACTTTCCACACTTCCTTAAACAAATGGTTAGGTAGGAAACTTCCATCAATACTAGAAAGAGTGGTAACTGCACGTAGACATGAGAAGCCTATTCACCTGCTTTAGGAGAAAGATTTGACTGTCTACAAGAGACGGGGTAGACGTGGGAAGAGCAAGAGAGTGACGACGCAAGCACATCCGACCTTCCAATTAGTAGCACTCACTACCAGATTGACCTGTGTGTATAACTGTACTGTATTTCATATTGTACGGGTTGTGTACAATAAACCTTTCTTCTATTATCCACCTGGTGTTAAGTATTTAGTCCCTTAGCATGGAATATAACAGTAAGATAAGGGAAAAGAAAAGAAAAACATTATTAAGCAGTGAGAACAATAAAAGAGGAATCAAGAAAACAGTAGATAACAATTGACATTGCATTTAAACTTACAAAGATCAAAGTTGACTGGGCAGCAGGAAGCCAGAAGAGTGCTCCACAAGTGAGAAGTGTGAGAAAAGAAACTCTTAGCTTAGAACTTACATTTGTATCTTGCCAAGTCACCTATAAACTGATGAGATCTTGTTGCCAATCTCATACTGTGAAGTCCAAGTACCATAGAGGAAAGCTCATCAAAACTATTATCATGAAAGTATTTATAGAAAAGGTACAGGAAACCTACATTACAGTGGAAAGAAAATGACTGAAGCTGAGATACCTGTTCAGGACCAATAACATTGCAAATTCTTATTTGGATTTTATCAAGGATCTCTAAATATATAGCAGGAGCACCAAAAGATATGTGGCAGTAATATTCAAAGACTGGATGAATGGTAGACTTATAAATATTTAACATAGATTCTGGAGATAAAATTATCTAGCACAACATAGTGACCTATAGCAATTGATTCAATATATTCACTCAACTGGCAGTTAGCATCAGCCATGCTGACATAAGGCAGAAAGGGGTCTCTCAGATGATTAATAGTTTGGTTTTGGAGAAAATTAACAAGCCATTCCTTGCCCCAGTTAACAGTATATGGAGGTCATTTTTTTAGATCAGCTGCCAATTTGACCTTAATTTACTAATTGATCTAATTTACTATTAAGACAGGAGTAAATAGTTGTCATCAGCATAGATTCCTAGTTGAGAATTGATGCTGTCATTAATGAATATTATGAACATAGGTTCAAGGATAGAGCCCTGGAGGACACCTGCATTAATCCAGAAAGATCTAGAAGAATTGCCATTCAGGACAACTTTCATTTTGCAATTTGATAAGAAAGACTGAATCAGTTTAAAAATCTGTCCAGAAATACCTTTGAACTTGTAAAGTAGCCTGGTATGCCAAACCATGTCAATTACTTTCAAGATGTCCAAAGCAACAATCCAAGTTTCACTATTTTTATTTAAAGCTTGATAGATTTTTTTGAGCAATAATCATTAGCAGTTGACCTAGAGGACTGAAAGCCATAATCTTTTTGCTATCTCGCAAGTTCATTGCTTTGTGTTGACCTTTTGAATGAACTCTTACCAACTCCTCTGCATTGACCAATCAGTGAACTCTGTTATGGAGGTAGAAATGGGTAACAGAACCTCAAGGACACATACCAGTGGATAAAGGCGTTGGTTAGATCCAGTGACAGGACCCAAAGAGTGTGAGTTCAATACCCGGTTAAGGCAGTGGAGAACTTGTAGAGGGGAATTAACAAGGAGATAACTGATAACTGACATCCATTAAAAACATGGCACGTGAAACTAGAACAGTCTACCCCAGTGAGCGAAATAAAGGGTTAAGTTCAACATTCCAACCACCTGAAGAAGTCCAGAGCATACAATGGCTGAAACGTAAAAAAAAATTGGCTACAAAGATGAGGACAATAGTCCAAATGATGTAAACAGTGTACATAATACCTCATCACAAAAATACAGACAGATACTAAAGGGCCGAAACGTTGTAATAAATATGGCTACAAAGATGAGGACAATAGTCCGAATAATGTAAATAATGTACATAATACCTCATCTCAGAAATATAGACAGTAACAGAACCTTGTTTTTATTGTTATAAAGGTTAATTCTTTATCCACTTTGGCAAATGTAAATCCAAACATCAAACAAAAGACATTGTGTATGGATAAATAAATGTATAATATATATACATATATACAGCATCTACAGGGTGTTTGGTAAAAAAGTGGCAAATTTATTATCACTGTTTTATCATTCATTTATAATTAACCTTGAATAACTTTGAATAAATTTCTTGAATAATCATGACCTTGAATAAAGTTATTGCCTACTGGTTAATATGCTTACAACTTTGTGTTGAACATTCAAGCAAACATTTCGAGCATCTATGACAATTGTTTAGTTTGTGTATGAATCATGATAGCTAAAGAAAGTTCCCTCTGAATTTACTGCTTTTTTTACTGGGCACCTTGTTGTAACTGTAGTGGTGAAATTTTAAGTGAAATGGACATTGGTGGTGGCTGTCATTGTTGGTGGCATTTCTCTCTCAGCATGTCGGTGTTGACATCAAACACTGGTCTGTGTCATGTCTCTCTCTCTCAGCGTGTCGGTGTTGACATCAAACACTGGTCTGTGTCATGTCTCTCTCTCAGCGTGTCGGTGTTGACATCAAACACTGGTCTGTGTCATGTCTCTCTCTCAGCGACACCTGTTGACATCAAACACTGGTCTGTGTCATGTCTCTCTCTCAGCGTGTCGGTGTTGACATCAAACACTGGTCTGTGTCATGTCTCTCTCTCAGCATGTCGGTGTTGACATCAAACACTGGTCTGTGTCATGTCTCTCTCTCAGCGTGTCGGTGTTGACATCAAACACTGGTCTGTGTCACATCTTTCTTTTCTCTCAGTCTCTTGGTGTTGACGTCAAATGCTGGTCTGTTTGAATTTGAGTACATATAGCCTTCAATCATCTTGAAATAAAGTTTTTTTTTTTTTTTTTTTTTTTTTGTGGAGTGGTTCTCCTAGTCATAATATATTGTTCATTTTGTTTTGGTTAAAGTGGATGTATATGGGGAGCTGATGTGCAGAAACATATTTATGCAGTCTGCTTTGGGTTATTGAGTAGTCAACATCCAGTCTGTGTAGAAAATGTAAGCAACACAACGACTCTCACTAATTTTGTGAAGTTATCATGATCTCTTGCCAGGTCATTGTATTTATCTTGTATTCATTTTAATTTGATCTTTAACTTTGACTTATGACTTTGTCATGATTCCAAACTCTCTTACACATTGGTGACCTCTACATTTGAGCCATTCAACTGCAGAATAGACACAGCTATTTTGTAAAAATTCTGATTGAAGAAAATCTTTGACTTAATTTCTGAAATTGCAACTGTTTATTTATTGTTTTATCAAATTTGAAACGGTGCTTCTGCATGTGTCCATCAGATTTTTGATTCGGATTTCTCCCAGATGAACATGACTTGCAATTCTATGATAATGAGTTTGAAGAAAGGTTGTTGAGTATGTGCACTAAACCATTGTTTTTTAAACTGTTTTTCTACTGTACAGCTCTTTTTTATTCCTGTCATCCCCCTAACAACAATTACATATAGAAAAAAAATAAAAGTGATTCTGAAAAACATGCTTGTTGTTCACCAATCTTTGAGGACCAATCAACACCTTTGATTAATTTTGTTATATTTCTGTTTATTACCATCACCAGAATGCTTTTATTTATTTATTTTTTTGTTTTTGACAGGCCTTGAAAGCTTGGATATGGCTATCTCACACTGGGAAGATGGCCTGAACAAATTAGCTTATTTAGATGAGGATGATGATACAACAGATTTGTTAGCCATTCCAGTAAGTAACCAAAGCCTTTCTCTCTCTCTCACTCTCTTTCTCTCTTGTCTCCATGTTCAGCTCTGGCAGATTGCTTAGACTAACTTTAACCCCCCCCCCAAAATGAATAAAATTAAAAACAAAAAATTCTCATATCTGAATAAATTTTAATATTTTCACTGCACACAAATATCAGTCTGCTCAACCTTGTGACTATATGTTCTTCCTTCCATAAGTTCTGCCTCTTCCACAAGAGTATAAGTTTAAAATAGCCCTAATATTTGAAAATCAGGATCAAAACTTAACTGATGGTTCCATGTTGTTGTATATGGCGAGTTAATTTTTTTTTTTTCCTCCATATGAGTTTGAATCCTCGTCGCCAAGTGTTGTAGAGTAGTTTCACAGTGGAGGCTTGTATTTCACTAAGTCGGTCCTAAAATAGGTTCGACGTTCAAAACGTTAGGAACTTGATATAATAGGTAATGACACAGAGAAATCTAGTCGTGGTTGCTGATACTTTTAGTATCCGACTAACGGTCGTCCGACATCGACTGACTGACCAACTACCTGAGCAACTGCTACTATTCCTACTTATTATAGGTGGGAGAGTCTATTAACTATAGAATTGGTGTGTTCCACTATAACAAATGTTACATCCACTCAAGGAATTTAAAAACTGTAAATAATTTTCAAATGATTTTACTTAGCTGAATAATTTTTAATAAAATGCTCATCTGTTTTTTTTTCTCCATTATACTATTTTGATTGTTCCATTTTCGGTTAATGTAATATCTTAAGACTTAACTCTATTCATTAGATGTCATATGTCTCAAAATTTAAAAAAAAATCATTGGATGATTTCAGTTTAAAGAAATCTTTAAAGTGATCACTATAAAGTAACCATCCAAGAGAACCTTTTTTTCCCTTCCCATCAGTATGCTGCTAACCTCCCTGGGAAAGCAACTTGTGCTGCTAACCTCCCAGGAAAGCAACTCATCGAGCCTTATTAGTCTCATGAAGTGAAGTGATTATATTGAATCAGTTGCTAGGTCAGCTGCTAGGAAAAGTAGTTCACTGTGCTGTGCCAGAATCTATCATTCGCCTTTGATTTGAATATGGCTACCACATCTGGTCATGCACTTCTGTTGTATGTTTAGAGATTCTTGACAGCACCCAAAGAATCTTCAATGTTATTGGTCCTAACCTGGCATCTTGGTTTCAGTCACTTTGCCACTGCTGTAATGTAGCTTCCCCGTACCTTTTCTATGAATACTTTTATGGTAATTGTTCAGATAAACTCTTTGCTGTGGTACCTCAACTTTAAGCGCAGTACTAGATTGGCGGCTAGGTCTCACCAATTCAGTTGAATTGGCTTTATGTAACCGTAGACTCTATGTTCTTGCAATATTCAGATTATGACTTTTAAACAAGATAACTATTTTTTATAGAATCTTTTCATACAATGGAATTATAACATAAAACAAATGCAAAAGATTTATTAATAGACTGAAAATTGAAAAATTGCCATGTCCTTTCAGGACAAAGGTGATCATGACTCTCCACAAAGGACTAACATTTTCAACTGTCATATCTTTGTTGATATCTCATCAATTCACTCGGTCAAGTATTGCATCAAATACATATCAAGGAGGTCAGATCAAGCTGTTTTTATACACCCCCCCCCCCAACTAAAATTTTTTTCCTTTTGATTTAAATTAAATTTAAATTTGAAGTGGGGAATGACTCCTATCCAAAATATAGAAGGAGAAAGCCAGAAGATGGAGGTCACATTGGCAAGCTCATTGAGTAATATAGAAATGCATCATTTTTCTCCACAAGTTTTAACAATGATTTAGAATCAATCGTCATTTTCTTACAAAAAATGTGTGACATGCAGCAAGGTGCAGGTAATTCAGCTAGTGTGTCATAAAATTGCACTCAAAATTAAACAATTTATCAAATATCAGTTAGCAATAATATTTTAACCCTTTCACCATGAATATAACTTTTTTTTATTTTTTTGCTCCATCAAAAGTAATGATTACTTATCACCTGCCATATTTCCATGTTATTTTTATAAGGGCAATTTAAAAAAAAAAAACATGACTTTAGCCTAGAATTGAATTTTATAGCATTGAATTTCTCATCAAAGTGAGTCTATCAAAAAATATTAAAGATAAATTTGTGATAAGTATTTGGGATAAGACAGTAGGAAAAAATTGCTTTCTGTCTGAATTTCTGGGATTAAGAGTTATCATTATTTACATTAGGACTATTATCCTCATCTTTGTTGTTATTATCACCTGATTGCCTTCTGTCTGAATTTCTGGGATGAGGAGTTATCATTATTTACATTATTTATATTTGGACTATTATCCTCATCTTTGTTGTTATTATCAAAATGTTTTGGCTGTTGTGCCCTCCAGCCTATATATTGATTTGGGTAACCTACAGGGAATTCTGAAATTAACGTTGAATTCCCTGTAGATTACCCAGATCAATATACACCTATTGAAGGCTAGAGGGGGACAATGTTTAAAATGTTGTGATAACAACAAAGATAAGTGCAATGGATGGAATGTAAATATTGTGAATAAAAAGATTTCTTGTTCATATGAGTTGGGTTTATAGTCTCTGAATGCCATGATTCTTTGAACTGCATTGTATATGTTTTACAAGGGTAACATAGGGTTTTTGAATTCAGACTTGTTCTTCTCCTAGACTGGTTACCAACCAAAGCTGGAGAACCCAGTCTGCTCGACTATTTAACACGTAACTGTGGGTAGACAGAAATAGATTTAAATTGGTGAATTATGGAATTAGTTTTACAGATAGGTAGGCAGCTTATGGCCATATCATGCCAAAACACCAGTTCTCATACAATAACTCAAATTAAGCAACATTGACCCTGGTCAGTACCTAAATAGGTGACTGCTTGGGAATACCACGTGCTGTGAACTTGGATGTGCAGGTGTTGTAATAGATAATGGCTTGGAATTGTTAATTGGAGAGCTGAGTTCCAATTCCAGTTGGGTTCATTATATTCAATTATGAACAAATACCCTTGGGAAAGGTATGAATCCATTTCTTCTTCCCTTAGTTATGGGTAAATTAGTAAGACTTGTATCACTAAATCATTACCTCAAATAAAAAATCTTACAATCTAAAAATATATTCTGCCTTTAAATAACCTTGAAGCAGTTGCTAAGCCGTAGAAAACGAATCAATAAAAAGAAACATAAGTAGACCATCTTTATGAATTGACATCAAATTTTACTTTACATGATAGTTCTGGCTAGTGAGGAGTAATAACCATTTAGTTTATTCTGTATGATTTTTGTTTTTCTGTTTTGTTTAATTTAAATGTCAGTGTGAAGCTGACTATATTGGTAGGACCATTCAGCTTTTAGAATAGAGAATTGTTCAACATGTCCTGGTGTGTATTAGAAAGGATCAACTGAATAATTTGCATAAATGCACCATCATATCTGGGCCTGCAATCACAGAACACTTTATACAAAATCAGAAATGTGCATCATCTTTTCAGAAAGAACACATTCTCAATTATATGTGGATCACATTCTATCATTTAAAAGTCCTTGAAACTATTTTTAACAGATTTTTTACACATCCTCCCTTAAGTAATCATGGTTGTTGAGAGTGAATGTGATTTGTTTGTAAAAATAAACCTTTGTATATTACTAACATGTGGATTTTGCTCTCTCTCTTTTTTTTTTTTTGTCTTTTTTTTTTTTTTTTTTTTTGTTTTTTTTTTTTTTTGCTTTGTTTTTTTTTTTTTTTTTTTTTTTTTGCTTTGTTTTTTGGTTTTTTTGCTTTTTTTTTTTGTTTTTGGGTTTTTTAAGTCTGTGTGCCCCAAAATTTTAATTTTCTCAACTGAGTTCTGATGAATGAGAAGTGATAACCAATTACTTTATTTTATATGATTTTTTTTTACTCCTAATTTCACACTGCAAACTACCATAGTTGCTGTTTTTCCCTTTGTCCCTTTAAATTGTGTCCATTTTATTGTCTTAATTAAATTTTGTACCTCTAATGATATCTTCAAATTTGTAAATTATGTTTCATGTTTTTTACCTTTCTTCTCCCCACTGCTTTTCCAGGATTCTGAGACGAGTGCTTTACAACACCAACTGGAACACTTATTGGAGCTGGCCTACCGTATGCAGGATGACTTTGAGAGATCTTGCGAGCGACAAGCTGACCAGGCAGCACTGGACTCTGCTCTGGCTGCATTTGCTGAGATTGACCGTATGCGGATGGAGAAACAACATAGTATGGATGTTGAGTCGTCAGAAGACCAGGAGTCCTTTGTATCTGCTACAGATGTAAGTTGAATTGATTGATTTACTTTTTTGTGGTTTATCAACCTTTTTATGATTTATTTAAAGCTGAAACATATTTTGGGTTGTAATAATAATTTTTTTTTTTTTTTTAGTAAGTATTTCATTAAAAATGTTTTCTAGATACAAGTCCTACTATTGAACCCATAGCTGGGGAGTGGATTCGTATCTTTCCCATGGTTATTTGCATATAAGTGAATATAATGCAACCAACTGGAATTTGAACATTAAGTTGAAGGGCTTGACCCAATTACATGATATGCATAGGTAAGAAGATTCTATTAGATCAATCAATTGAAAAGAGATTGGCTGATTTAAGAATCAGCATAAGAAAGCTTTACCAGGGCTGGGACACTGATCCAGACAGAAATCCACAATCTCAAAAATAAAATAACCCTTACTTTATTAACATGGTACGAGTTTTATTGCTATTAAAAAGGAGAGCGTTCATATGACACTTTCTGTAAACTGAAATCATATAAATTATGGGAAGATTTTGAGCATTCCCAGACCCAAAAAATAAGCTTCTGTGCACATGAAATGAAGTTAAGAAATTAAAGTTAGATGCAACTATAATTTATGTGTGTGCATTAACACATATATATATATATATATGTTCGCAATAAACGTATCTACTAGGATTCAAAACAAAACAAAAATAGAATACATCTTAAACAGTCAAGCATGAAGAGAAATTAACTGCACTCAAAAACAAATGCTCTTGAAAATGGCTAAAGAAATGGCTTGGAACAATGGACATTTTTTGCACTCCTTTTCATCAAATGGTAAAATGTAAGGATGTTGCAAATGCTAAATAATAAAAAAAAAAAAAAAAAACCTTAATAAAATCTTCCTTGTCTCTCTTTATATTTCTGAGATGAGCTATTATGTGCACTATTTATATTATTCAGAATATTGTCCTCATTTTTGTTGCCATATTTATTACAACGTTTTGGCTGTTGTACACTCCGGCCTTCTTCAGGTGGTTGTAATGTTTGACATTCCAACCACCTGAAGAAGGCCGGAGCGTACAACAGTCGAAACATTGTAATAAATATGGCGACAAAGATGAGGACAATAATCTGAATAATGTAAATAGTGTATCTTCCTTGTCGGTCATATTTTTTAACAAAAGTTGTTTAAAAGAAAGGTTGATCCCCATATATATATATATATATAAAATTTCATTCACAGCCAGTACTATTTCACTGTATCACAGCTACTCAGTGCAACTAGATGTCAAAAAGCCGACTGATTTAGTGTCGGAGTTTCTACCCCTAAGCCTCAACAGAGATAAACTGCTAATTTTAGCGTTTTGTTTTTCCGAATGTAAACAAACGCTATATATATATATATATATATATATATATATATATATATATATATATATATATATATATATATGGATATTACATTGTGCCTGATGAGATGCATTGATACACATCGAAACGTGACTGCAATTGTGTAGCGATTTTGACATGTTTTTGATGTAATATCCTAAAATAAATAATATTGTTCTACTTTGTATTGAGCCCTTTCTTAAATTAAATGTTATGAACGTTGGAATTGTACTCTATACATTCTCATCAACTGGATATATATATATATATATATATATATATAGATTGGTAATTGGTAGGGATAATTCCAAGCAGGATATTAATCCAAAGAGAGTTCAATGTAAGTAATGTTCTTCCTTTTTCTTTCTTCTCCCTTTTCCTTTTGTCGGGGCAAATTGATTTTCATTTCTAAAAAAAACCTTTAGTCTGAAGAGGTGAATATTTAAATATATTCACAAAATAAATTATAACCAAAATGAATTTTTAAGAATTTTCTTTTATGACATTGCAATCCCATCCTGAGGCACCAGGTGAGTTTGTGGTCAGTCCTTACAGACAGCCTTGGAGTTGGTTGCTTGATCTTCAATTCGCACCCTGATCACATTGTGTTTGTTTTAGATCACAGGGTAGGTGAAGGCCAAGTAGCATACTCAATGTTGCTGATCTTGTAACTTTGTTCCTTGTGCCTTCATCTCACCAAAGTAAGAGACAGCTGTGTAACGCAACAACTTTACACCAAAAATTCATACCGTGAACGTTCTACTCACTAGATTAACAGCACACAGATTTTCAGCACCTTCCCTCTTAATACGCCATGACACTATGTCTAGCCATGATCGGTAAACTGGCTGAAGTCTGATTTCTTTGGGCCGACCATCCAGGTGTATTTGGTAGTCTGGAACAAGGCTGGAGTCTAAGTTCTTTCTGCAGAAGCTGTGCGGGGTTTGGCAAAGTGGGTCTTGAACCAACTGGCAACATGTCTCTCTTGCAACCCACAATTTGAGCTGGCTGGTTCCTTCTCTGTCTCTCGTCTCACTTGTCCATATTTATGGACCCTCATGCAAACCTGATGCAGGGCATGAAGTGGTCAAGAAATTGATTGCTTGACCAAAGTTGAATATTAATATACAACCCAGTGTGTCTGGAGATTTTAATTTTTAATACTTTTATTATTCTTATATATATATATATATATATATATATATATATATATATATATATATATATATATATATATATATATATATATATATATATATAAATTTAAATGATAATAATAATAAAATAAATAAAGAATAAAAGTGTAAAATTATCATTAGATATGAGAACATTTTTTTTTTTTTAAATATTTGAAAGATAAATAATAGAAGAAATTGACTATTCTGAACTAATAATAATAGTCAACAAAACAAAACAATGTTACAACTAAAAATGCATTTCCTACAGAATACATACTCCATAAAAAAATAATGTTATGTTTACAATCAGTAAATACAAAAAGGATAAATGAATAAAAATATAAAATAAATTCTAACTGAAATGTTTGAATGATAGAGAACTCGAAATGCTTTCATAAAAAGAGAAATGTTATTCTTAAATATAGAATTATTTGAGAATGTATAAGTAATTCAACAAATACAATGCATTTATGGCAGTTGAAACTGTCACACCCATGTAGGCTTGTAAATAACAGATGTTGCACTGTCATCAGCAGCTGAGACATAACTCTTTGAGCACAGGTCTATGGTCTCTCAAGATCAATGGATGACACACATTATATATATATATATATATATATATATATATATATATATATATATATATATATATATATAGGCATGGTGGAGTAGTGGGTAGCGGCTTGGACTGAGGGACCTGGAGAGCAGAGTTCAAATTCCAGTCATATCGATTACATTCACTTATGTGCTAATACCCTTGGGAAAGGTATTAATCCTCTTCTCCCTCCAGCTATGGATAAATAGCAGGATAGACTGGGTTCTATAGCCTTGGATGGCAATTGGTCTAGGAGAAGGACAACTCTGAATTCAAAACCTGCAGAGGGTTATTTGAGGACCTTGTGACACATACTGCACCAGGTCTCTGTATTCGGCCCTTCAAAAAGTGTGGTTGGTTCTGCACAAAGCCTTCACCACTATCATCATATGTGCTGGTGTCTGGCTGTCGGTTCCTAGGAACTGAATTGCTGACCCACATACAATAGAAGATTCCACCATATATACATTGAGTAAAAACTTAATGCATCATCGAAAACACAGTTATAAATTAGAATTTATTTCAACAAGTAAGTTTTTAACACCCGTCTCATGAGACCAAAATTACAAATGATTTAAATTTATCCAGAATATTTTAAAAAACAAGATAACATGATGTCTAGACGCTTGATCTAGAAAATCTATTTTCTGGGGATTTATAATATTGAAGACATGTGGGGTAGGAGGGATTGTTAGCTTTCAACCTGATTTTCATGTGTGGTGGTTGAGAGAACATAGTAACTGCTAAAATACTAATACATACATACATGCCCACATATATACAAATACATTCATATAAATATAAAATATATTGCTTTGTATACTATACATTGTGCTCTCTTTATGGATCCATCTCTTTAATATTTTATATTAAAAAGGCCTACTTGGATTATCCTTTCCACTTGCGGATTTGATATTATTATATATATATATGCTTGAAATTCATTAATTTTTTTTTTTTTACCTTTGAAAGGATGTCATCTCTCCTTGAGTTCAGAATGCCATAACTTATACTAATACTGTTTAACAAGTCAAATGCATATGAAGCCTGCTTAACCAATGAAAGTTAACCAACCCAAAAATAAAAATTATTTTTTTGTTGTTTATCTTACTTTCTGATGAAGCTTTAATAAGAGAGAAACATGTTAGATTGATAAATGTTTACTATTTGTTATCTTTTAGCAAGATTGTAATGTCTTTTTCTCTCTCTTTTTTTTTTTTCCTCTCTTTTTCAGATGGCAGATTTGTCAGATCTTGAAACTTATCGGGAATTATTCAAAAGACTTCCGCTATATGAAGGGGCATTACAAGAACATAAGTATAATGGCATCACATGTCGGACTATGAGGTAAGGAGACAGGTCCTCAGATATATAAAGCAGGGTCATATTTGCATTTTTTCTTAAATTATCGTGGCAACATTGAACATAAATTAATAAATACATCATCCAAGTAGTCCACTACATAAAGATTGTAATTTTCTCATCTTTATATTGTGGAATTTTCTTGTTTCAAAGAAATGTTACCCCTCCCCACCAACAAAAATATACAAAGGAAACCGTTTAAATAAAAAAAAGTGGCTGATAAAAATTGGATCAATTTATTGCAAACATGGACATTTTGCCTTCAAAAAAAAAACCCAACATCAAAAAGATGCTTTTCCCTTGTCACCACTACTATTTTAACTACCTTCACTTCTTGGCAATGTTTATTGTTTTAAGTGATTATTAGAATTGTAATAAAACCTAAACATATGAAAGAATTTAGACATTTTTTTGTTCTTGAGAATTGACAACAAAAACTTAAACAGTATTTATTAGATTTTTTTATTTACACTATTATATTGTTGTCAAAGCATCAGCAAATTGCCAATTGATTCAAACTTTATAAAATGGTAAATAATAAAGATTTCCTTATAGTTGGTTCACATATTTTAATAATTTAGTAAATGTTCATAAATTTATGAATAAAAACTTGTTTTCATATTTACTTTTTTTATAAATTGGTAAATGATAAATATTGCATTGTATTAGTTTTTAGAATGTTGTAAATATAAGATTTTTCTTGTAAATAAAAAATCTAGTAAATAGTGTTTAATATTTTTGTTGTAAATTCTCAAGAACAAAAAAAATAAAATGTATAAATTCATTTTCATCATATGTTTAAGTTTTAAAATTCTAATAAATGCTTCTTAAAAACAAATATTACCGAAGAGTGAAGGTAATTAAAAACCGCAGTGTCATGAGAAAAACCATCCTTTTCGCACTCCTTTTTTTTTTTCGTGGGTACATAGGTCAATGTTTGCCCAATTTATATTGTTTGAAACTGTTTTACATTATAGAAGATACTTGAAATTTTCTCTTTGAATTTCTAGAATTTTTAGTTATCATTATTTACATTTGGTCTATTGTCCTCAGTAGCAGGCAGATTGGGTTTAAGGCTACAAATTCTACACTCAGGATTGTCTCATGTTGTAATTGTGAGTTCAATCCCTGGGTCAAGCAGTTTAGATTTAGACTCCATGGAAACAGGCAGAGCAATAATATTAAATTAGAACTCTACAAGATATCCCTGGAACAAGAACAATCTATTTGTAAACAGTTCAGTTCAAAATTCCTTGAAGGTTACCTGGAACAGCACGCACCTGATGAAGGCTGCAGAAGGAACAAAAACTCGGAGAGTTGACTTTCTAAAGAGAGATACCTGAAATTAAGATATCCATAAAAAGCATGCTATGTAGAATTAGAACAATCCACCCGGCCCCTGTGAACTAAATAAAGGGTTCGGTTTGAAATGCCAATGTATATCGCCTGAAAAAGGCTAGAGCATACAACAACCAAAATGACGTGAATGTGGCAATAAAGACAAGGACAGCAATCAGAATGATGTAAATAGTTAACTGTTTATCAAGATTTTCTTTGGCAATTTGAAAGACAGATAGGCTTCAAGAAAAAGCTCTGTGGTTTTGAAACATCATGTGTACCTTATAGCATAATGACACAAATATGGGTCACCTACTGAGGATAAAACTCACTACACTCTTGCTAGTTGAGTGACATTAAAACCACGGTACACCTCATTTGTCACCGTCTTTCAGGCTAAGCTTGTAAATGATAGTGACACATCACTTGAAAACCATCAGTCAGAAGGAAGACTAAGCAGACCATAACTGTCATGAGATTTGATTGTCAAAGTTATCTACACTTATTTTGTTTAGTGGCATATCAACACTTCTATGGGTTATTTAATGACAAAATCTAAATATTTTGAACAAAATTTTATGGCTTCAATTACTGACAAAATGTATTGTTGGTCATTTTGCTATAAAATGTATTGTTGGTCATCTCTATCTATAAAAGGCAGGATGTGTGTGTAACAAATGCACGGCTGCAATTTTTGATGGATTTGCACCAAAATTTACATGCACATGCCCCAAGTTAGCGGGAAGGCCAAGACTGACTTTGCATTTCCCAACTCCCATCGATAGTGGAAATAATCAATTTTTTCATGCTTCTACAGCAGTTTTCATGTAGTTTGCAGTCATTTTGTACTGGCCAGAGTGAGAGCCAATAGCTGGCTGTCACGAATAGGCAGGAAGATTCTATTGGCCAGTGCAAGAGCCAACAGCTGACTGACACGAATGTTAACTAGCATGCTAGCATGCAAAAAAAATCGATAGCTGCATTCGTCACAATTGGGAAAAATTTAAATCTGCATGGCACTTTACTCCAATTGGCTCATTCGCTTGCTTAAACTCAACATTGATTCTGATTCCGCAGAACTGGGTTGGGTGTGAAAAAGTATTTGTCGTTAACATTCTTTTTTCATTCGGTTTTTCCAGTTACGAGTCCTTTTTTTGTTCATTTTGTTTATTTCTTTTTTCGTAACAGATTTAATGTTTAGTATAGAGCTTAGAAAAAATTTGCAGTGTGACATAGGCAAGAAGTAAGGCATGTAGCAACATCAGCTCGGCAAAGGGCACTCATTTAAAGGCAAGGAAGGACAAAAATATTTTAAGTCAAGTGATATCGATTGCTGTATGAATCGTACGATTTTTGAATCAAGCACGGGCAACGCCGGGCCATGCTGCTAGTTTTGTTATAAAATTTATTGTTGGTAATTCTACAATAAATGGTTATTGTTGGTACTTTTGCTTTAAAATTGTATTGTTGCTAATTTTTTTTATATAAAAATATATTTTTATACTTTCATAGTGTTTTGTTTTTGTTTGGGATTTCACCATTTGCTCATAGCTGAGATCCTAAACCGGGTCAGAGTGGACCTGGGAACAACAGCAATTAAGAGGGTGTTCCATTCCTCAAAACCTCAAATCTCCTGATCAGAGGCCTTGCTGCCGGATATAGTTTATCATCATACCCAGGACTAATTGTTTGGGGTGAATTGATTAAAACCAAACAGAAACAAAGAAAAACATGATCATAACACTTACACAAGTGTTTTACTGAGATTAGTCTGACACAAGGCCATAAGATTAGGGTGCCAATAAAGATCAAGATTGGCTTGTTAACAATTCTCATAAGCTTGGTAGCCAAAGTATTGTATTTGATCATATTGTCATTTGATAATAAACTTTACCTGCCTTCATAAAGAGAAAATATTTTAATTGTTCAACTTACAAGGTGTTTTTTTCTTTATCATTTTAGAACAACGATGGTTGGTTGTTTGAAAGATGCCGAATTTCTTGCCAAGCTTCATTGTCTTCGAGAAGGATTTGATGTAAGTGTTTTTAAAAATCATTTCTTGCTTTGTTGTTGTTTAATATATTTTTAAAAATTAAATCTAGCAACAAGTCAAAATTTAACATCTCACAAGTCTGTGTGCCCTGTGACCCATGTATATTTCAATGTATCGAAATCCATTAATATTAATCTGTTTCAGGTTGTTTTTCGTGATCCAGAAACTCGAAAATGGCTGCAAGACCTTGGGAAGTCCATAATGGCGGGAATATTGCAGAAGTCTGAGAGGGTAGGATTACAAAAAAATTTTCTGTTAACAATTATTGTCATAAATGTCAATGGAGATAGCAGTGATTGCCTAGGCAATAGCTGTCTATAGTTCCCTGGTATTCTTCTCATTATATTTGGTCAGTTGCCAGTGATGGGAAAAGATTGTAAATTAACCTGCCTTCAAATGGGTCTTGTATGGATTTACTATTTTGATAATTAGTTATGGATTTCAATGTGATGCTTTTGTTTGACCTGCGTCCATGCTTTGTCCACAATAGGTTTGATATTAACAGTAAGAAAAATATGTCGCATCATATTTCCTGGATTAAGTTATCATTCTGTTTTTTTCTGTATTTCTTTTCCTTTCTTCCACACAAAATAACTTACTGTTCCTGTTAGTGGAGCCTAAAATACATCAACTGTATCCCCAGCTGAGTGGCAGGATGCTTAAAGATTCTATACGAGAATCTTTAGTCAGCAATTGCATGCTGTTTGATTTAACAAATAATCTGGTTTACCATTTGACTTTGGTATAATCCTGGTTAACATTTGGAATTATTAATTCATTGTGATTATTGTCCAGTCAGGATTATATTCAACTTTTTTCAGGACACTGAAGAGTTCTATCAAGCTTATCAAGAGATGATGGATTACATCAATGACAATTCCCACTGGCCTCAAATGGAAGAAGAACTAAAAGATCGAGGGGTAAGTCTTTCATACATTTCATTTATTTATATATATATATATATATACACACACACGGAGTGAACTGAACTAGATGTTTGAAGATATATTTTTAGCAAGGCTTGTAATCTGCAATATAGAAGATTTACCTTTGGACCTAGTGACTTATTAGTATTTATTAGTAGTTGATTTTTATGGTCTTTCTCTTTTTTTTCTCATTACTCTCCTTGATAGTGATTTTCTCTTGATTAAGGGTATTTAGGTCATTTAGCAAGTTGTCCTTTAGTACACCAATGGTTTTGATTTTTCTTTTTTATTTATATATGTAAAATTCGCTTGAAGATGAAATGGAACTAATGCTTTTAATTTAATTGCAAAATTGAATTCGGGGTTTTTGGCTTCTATTTTTGAAACATGGTTGGAACTGTGTAGCGAAAAAAAAACATATTTTAAATCAATTAATTTATAATATTATATATATATATATATATATATATATATATATATAATATATATATAACTAATAAACTTATAAATGTAAGCAGCTATACTGTCTGACAAAAACTTAGGTGTTTTAGCTTGTAAATGAACAAACTAATACGCAAGGGAAAAAAAAGGGTAAAAAATGAAAGAATTAAGAACATGTACTTCCGGTGAAAAATAATCGTCTAGAATCTAAGTTCAGAGTCCCCCCAAAAAAAACCTCTGACACAGGTAAATTAAAATAACTAAACAAAGTGCTCAATAAGCTAAGTAGAGCAAAATAAGTAAATAAACCTAAAGAGCCAGACTAACCTACCTAGATTTCACCTACGCGGATCGTCAGTGAGGACTGGCTCTTTAGGTTTATTCACTTTATATATAAAGTGAATAATCCTAAATAATATAATACAAATGTAAAATTTCTCCCTTCCATATTTATATTAATCTTATTAATGCTCTTTCTGATATTGTACACTTTTTTGAAAAGACTGCTTGCCTTAAATATTTGTTCTTTCAGATTTCCACTGACAGCATTTCTAGCTTTACATCATCTTTGTTATTGCTATATATATATATATATATATATATATATAGGCAGGGTGTGTGTATGTAATGAATGCATGGCTGCAATTTTCGACGGATTTGCACCAAAATTTACATGCACATGCTCCAAGTTAGCAGGAAGGCCAAGACCGACTTTGCATTTCCCAACTCCCATCGATAGTGGAAATGATCAATTTTTTCATGCTTCTACGGCAGTTTTCATGTAGTTTGCGGCCATTTTGTACTGGCCAGAGTGTGAGCCAATAGCTGGCTGCCACAAATAGGCAGGAAGATTCTATTGGCCAGTGCGAGAGCCAACAGCTGACTGACACGAATGTTAACTAGCATGCTACCATGCAAAAAAAATCGATAACTGCATTCGTCACAATTGGGAGAAATTTAAATCTGCATGGCACTTTACTCCAATTGGCTCATTCACTTGCTTAAACTCAACATTGATTCTGATTTCGCAGAACTGGGTTGGGTGTGAAAAAGTATTTGTCGTTAACATTCTTTTTTCATTCGGTTTTTCCAGTTACGAGTCCTTTTTTTGTTCATTTTGTTTATTTCTTTTTTCGTAACAGATTTAATGTTTAGCATAGAGCTTAGAAAAAATTTGCAGTGTGAGGTAGGCAAGAAGTAAGGCATGTAGCAACATCAGCATGGCAAAGGGCACTCCTTTAAAGGCAAGGAAGGGCAAAAATATTTTAAGTCAAGTGATAGCAATTGCTGTATGAATCGACGATTTTTGAATCAAGCACGGGCAACGCTGAGCCATGCTGCTAGGATATATATATATATATATATATATATATATATATATTATAATATATTTAATATAAAGTTTTCTCGTTTAGCTGATTGGTTTTGCTTTCAGCATCCTAATTTTTCATTTTCTCATAGATGGACTCTCTAGCAATCATTCCGTCCACTCATCAGGGGATATCAGCAATTAACTGTTTATTTTCTTGTTTTTCTTTTATATATGCACTTTTCATTAGTGCAAAGTTGATTTTTTTTTTTTTTTTTTTCTTCGTTCTCTTGTCTACATGTAGAATGTCATTTCTCCTATTTCCTCATTTTTCTCATCTCTATACTCTCTCCTTATTGGTTTTATAGTTTTTCTCTCTCTTTCAGTTGTAGCAATTTCGGCATCCATTTTATCAGACAACCACTGTTCTTAATTCAAGACTGTTCTAATGTTTTCTTGAATTTGAAAAATTGTATTTCATTTTTATACTTAAATAGTAGTTTATTACTATTAATGAGTAATATTAGGTAGCTATTGTTCTTTTAAACATGTTTTATTGAATAGTATACACATTTTACATCTATTAAGTCTAAATTGCAAATGACCTTTCGTAAAACTGGCTGCTGCAGATGTACAAAATTTTTAAAATTGATATAATTGTATAAAGGTATAAATTCACTACTTACACACGCCTGGTGATGACTTGTGTAAGTCAAAAGCATGTATAGAGCAATTATATTGATTTGAGAAGTTTGGGATATTTGCAGCACCCAATTTAAGAAAGGTCATTCAAAATTTAGAAAAAATGAGGGCTTGGCAAAATTAACTCGCAAAACAGGTCTAAGACAAGAGAAGCAATGAAAGCCTACTTGTCAGGTTTGTGCAAATGGACGGAGGAACAACAGGAAGATGTGGAGAGCCATGATCGCCCATATCCTGAAATATCATGGGACACATTGAAACTAAGAGAAACAGAGGAATACAATAAGCAGCTGACTTGACAAGTTTATGTATATGAGTAGAGAAACAACAGGAAGATGTGGAGAGCCATGATCATCCATATCCTGAAATGACACAGGAACCCATTGAAAGAGTAGCAGATGTAATAAGTTGCCTACGTTTCAAATTTGTGCAAATAGATGGAGGAATGACAGGAAGATGTGGAGAGCCACAATCGCCCATATCCTTGCCAGGTTTGTGCAAATGTATGGAGAAACAAGTATCACAAAGTGTTTATAATTAAGCAAGTATTGTTAAAAGCAACAAAAACAGAAAGCTGTGACAAGTTATGATGGCCGACATCCAGATGTGACATGGCAAATTGTGATATGGAGATAATTTTTTGTTTTTTATTACTATGGCCCCTTGTCTTTACTTCTAAACTTACCATAAATTTTTTTTTCTTTCCATTAAATGAAAATACGAAATTAGCATCTTTTTTTTTTTTGTAATTTGAAAAACGGAAGAAAGGGATTGTCAGTGGTCAAGAATGAAGACAAGCATTACTGATAGAATAGGGCTATTATATGTATAATGTAAATGCATTGCTAATGATTTTATTATAGGAATGCATTAAAAATGAGGAAGAAAGGGATTGTCAGTGGTCAAGAATGAAGACAAGCATTACTGATAGAATAGGGCTATTATATGTATAATGTAAATGCATTGCTAATGATTTTATTATAGGAATGCATTAAAAATGAGGAAGAAAGGGATTGTCAGTGGTCAGTAATGAATGCAAGCATTACTGATAGAATAGGGCTATTATATGTATAATGGAAATGCATTGCTAATGATTTTACTATAGGAATGCATTGAAAATCAAGAAGAAAGGGATTGTCAGTTGTCAGGAATGAAGGCAAGCATTACTGATAGAATAGGGCCATTATATGTATAATGTAAATACATTGCTAATGATTTTATTATAGGAATGCATTGGAAATCAGGAAGAAAGGGATTGTCAGTGGTCAGGAATGAAGGCAAGCATTACTGGTAGAATTGTGCTATGTAGAATTTAAAATTAATTCTGATCTGACAGTGCTTATTTGACGTCCTATGTATTGGATTCTCCCTTGCATTGTATTAGTTGATATAGAATGGATTATACATGTAAGGAAGGCTGCAGAATATAATCTGTCAAAATTTTCTGGTTACACAACATTAATAGCACAAAGAAGTTCATTGCCCAAACAAATCTTCAGAAAAAACAATTATTTTTTTTCATTTACCCATAATGCTCTCTGGCTTCATTTTGCAACCAATTCATTCTACTGAATGCTCCAATTTTCTCATAGAGGCTTTGTTCCTTAGAGCCATTGAAATTATGGTTCTGCAGACTTCTATTATGTCTTTCAGGCCTGTTCTCTTCAAGGCTTTCCATTATTCTTTTGCCCATAAGTGGTGCTATTCTCAAGATCAATTTTCTGCTGCTACGAACCAAGCTTTGCTTGACATTTTTTTTCTCTCTCTCTCACTCACACACACACACACACACCACATTGTCCATGCTTTTTCTGAAGATCTAAATGGTTAAGATTCAGAAGCATTTGCAGGAACCAAAATTGGAGTTCTTGTTTTGAAATTGAATTTTTTAGTGCTGTGTAACTTGATAGAAATTCTATTTTTATAAATGAACATCCAAGGTATTTTTGTAAAATATCCAGCCATTTTAAATATCCCAAAAACTGGTTGCAGAACTGTGATGTGTCTAAGCAACCAATCAGAGAAAACTTTACTGCATATGTGTGACATCCATTTTAAATATCCCTGGGACTTAATATGACTAAACAACCAATCAGAGGAGACTTTACTGCTGCGGTTTGAACACTCTTTAGATAGCTACTCATTTAGCAGAAAGACTACATTCAGTGAGTATGTACGTACTCTCTGTCATTTTGATCTATCACTCCCCCACTTACTGTCCCTATTTGGCTATTCCCACATTACAATTGAATGTAGTCCTCGTATGATGATAAACTACATCCAGCAGCAAGGCCTCTGATCAGGAAATTGAAGATTTTGAGGGGCACAGAACCACCTTTTAATTGCTGTTGTTCCCAGGTCCAACCTGACCTAGGGTGGTAGTACCTGTTAGGGCCCATCTGTGGGCAAATAGTAAACACATAAATGAAAACAAAACACTATAAAAGTATAAAAATATATATTTATTATAAAAATTACCAGCAATACATTTTATCTGTCCTTCTCCTCATCCTTTCCTCTATCATTCCTATCTCCTCTCACTCCAAATCCTCTGTAACCCTTTGTGTGCTAGTGGCTTCCCGCCTTGCTTGGGGTGAAATGCTTAAAAAAAAAAAAAAGTTGAAGGCATGCAATTGCATTCCAAATATTTAGATTTTGGCATTAAATAACCCATATAGGTGTTGATATGCTGCTAAACAAAATCAACCAACATGAAAGAACTTTATGACATTAATTTATATATTACAAAATTTCTTAAATAAATCACTTTATTCCAAAATATAACTTCAACAAAACTACAAGGTAAAACACACATATCACCACCTCTAGTAATCCTGTATATGCGCAAAAACTAAGCATCATTTACCATGTATTCAATTGTGAAAGCAGAATAACACACATTTTTATTGCATCAAATCTCCCAAGAAAATTAAATTTTGCCATTAAATGACCCATAAAGTCTTGATATGCCATTAAACAAACAAGACAAAACAATCAATTGAATAGGAGGAGTCTTCAGACTATAGACATTATGAAAGAAAACACAATGAGACAGCTAATGGTAATCCCAAATAGGATTTTGCTGTTTGTCTTGAAAAGTACAAGTGACACTGTGATAAGCATTTTAGTTCCAAGGGGAATACTTTGAAGGCAGTGAGGGTGATATTAGTTCAAATAGAAATAATGTAAACATCTTTATCTTTGTTGTTACTATCACAGTGTTTCGGCCATTGTTTCTTCTGGTCTTCTTCAGGTCTCTCTTGACCTGATTAACCATTATTTAATCTATGGAGGTAGATTGTTCTCGTTCTTCTATGTCTCAGCACATCTCTTCCGGCACTTATTTAATATTGCACAGTTATTGCTTGCATCGTTTCTATACTACCCAACACAGGGATTGAACTCGGACTTTTTTCTTTTTTAATCATTTCACCCCAAGCAAAACAATAAAGCCACGAATTCGCAAAGGATTACTGAATGTTAGATAATATGAGGAAAAAAAAAAACACTATTAAGGAGAGTGAACAATAAAAGGGATTATGAAGACAGAAGATAACAATTGACATTGTATTTAAATTTTTGAAGATCAAAGTTGACTGGGAAGCAAGAAGCTGGAAAACAGTTCCACAAGCAAGAAGTGTGAAACTGTTAGCATAGAACTGAGTTACATCTAACCATTTTCAACTATAAAATGATGAGACCTAACTGCCAATCTAGTAGTTCACAAATTGCTAAAGTTGAGCTACCAAAGAGGAAAGCTCATCCAAACAATTAAATTATTTCACCTGCAAGCAAGGCAATAAAGCCACTAAGACCAAACATGTTACTGAGATTGAGAGAATATAAGAGAAAAGGAAAACATTATTAAGGAGAGAGAACAATAACAGAACAGGAATTAAGAAGACAATATAATGATTGCATTTATTTAATTATTTGAAGAAAACAAGAAACCAGAAATAAGAAACAGTTTGCATAGAATTCAGTTACATCTAGCCATGAATTAAAATATTACCAGATTCACAAACCAACACTTTAATCCATTAGGCTTTTGTCCCATGGGACAATCCTGAATCTAGAACTTGGAGCCTTAAACTTAATTTTCTTCTTTCCTGTCAGCTATTGTCATGCTTGACTGTATTCACTGCTACTTTTTTCTTTGTTACTCCTGCTGAAACTTTGCTATCATTTCTCTTCCTTTATTTCTTAATGGCTCCCATATGCTATTTATTTCTATGCTAGGCCTATTGAGTAATCCTTTATAGCCTAGCATAAAAAGGTGACACTGCATTATTTATTTATTTATTTTTTAAATTAACTGGTTAGATCCTTCCCAACAGTCCTTGTATGTTTACACAGTATTTGTGTGTGTGTGTGTGTGTTTCATATGCTTACTTACAAAGGGAGGAAAGAGATAAATGTTAAAAAAAATAATTAAACTGAAGTTATTTAAAATGCTTGCCAAACTTTAAAATGTGAAAAAGAATTTTTTTTTTTTTTTTTTTCAAGTATCTTATTTTACAATAGGTATTTAAGTTTTAAATCATGAACAATAGAACAAAATGATGTCCTTTTGCCTATAAGTATGTATGCATGTAAAATTTTTATTAAAAAATATATATAATAAAATATATATAATAGTAAAATTGTATGTATGTATGTATATATGTATGTATAAGTATATAAGTATGCCTATAAGTATGTATGAATGAATATTTGTTTGTCTCAACTAATTCTGTCCAGTGTGTATGAGGGAGAATTTTTCTAGGTTTGAAGAAAAAAAAAACAAAACAATAGTATTTTGTGTTGCTTAAGTCTTCAAGTTAAATTTTTTTTTTTTTTTTTTTTCATTTCATCCCAAGCAAGGCAGGAGTGCTACTAGCACACAGGGGGGGTTACAGTGAGAGAAAAGACTGGGTTTTGTGGGGACTGAAGAAAGGACAAAAGATGAATGGGATTTAAGAAGAAAGATGAATGGAGATCAAGGCAACAGGAGATGAAGATTTGACCATTGTAGTTCAGCAATGTAAGAGGAAGGTAGTTCTAATGTTGGGAAGTGCAAGAAAAGAAACTGTAGGAGTAGAAGTGGCAGTTACATTTAACCATTTCAACAGTAAATGGGTAGGACCTAACTGCCAATAACCATTTCAACAGTAAATGGGTAGGACCTAACTGCCAATCTAGTAGCAGGCTTAAATTCATGTAGTTGAGGGACCAGGGAAAATAGCTTGTCAGAGCAGCTGCCATGAAGATATTTGTAGAAAAAAAAGAGGGAAGCCACATCATGTCTGAGAAAGTGACTGAAGTCAAGATGCCAAGTCTAGACCAATTACATTGCAGATCCTTCTTTTGATTTTGTCAAGAACCTTGAGATGAACAGCAGGAGCACTACACCAAATATGGCAACAGTATTCAATGCGTAGACAAATGGTAAATTTGTAAATGAGCAAGATGGATGAGAAAAACTTTCTGGCACAACACAGTGACCCAAATTTTCATGCAGCAAGAGAAAGGGAGTTCCACTGTCAGTAAGTGAAAGAAAAGAAGCTGTTGTTCGTCAGAGCAGTTGTCATGAAAATATTTGTAAAAAATAAAAACAGAGGGAAGTCACATCATGTCTGTGAGAAAGTGTTATGGAGTGATTTCACAGTGGAGGCTTGTATTTGTACTAAGTCAGTCCTAAAATAGGTTCAACGTACAAAACGTTAGGAACTTGATATAATACGTATAACGCAGAGAAATCTAGTTGTGGTTGCTGATAGTTTAGTATTCGACTAACTGTTGTCCGACATTGACCGACTCACCAACTCACTGAGTGACTCCTTGTTACTCTTACTACTCCTACTTATTATAGGTGGGAGAGTCTATTAACTATAAACACTATAACAGAAAGTGACTGAAGTTGAGATGCCAAGTCAGGATCCATTACATTGCAGATCCTTTTTTTGATTTTGTCAAGAACCTAGAGATGAACAGTAGGGGCACCAGACCAAATATGGCAACAGAATTCAATGTATGGAGGAATAGTACAGAGTTTTTATTCTGTTGTTAAACCTTTGGAGATGGAACCTCATTTGGAGTTTCAGTGTCAACAAGATGGAGCCCTTTTCACAAGCCCTTGCTTGGAACACACACTCACCCCCCCCCCAAATGGATGTAAAATCACAGAACACAGTAAACTTTCATAGAAACCACCATTGAAAGGCCCAGATGTGCAAGAAATGCAAGAATCAATCTGATTGGCTGGTACAAAGACCAGCTAGCTAATCTTGAGGCTTGTATTATCAGGCCAATGGATCAGCCCATTCTTTTCATCATTCAACTTTGCAGCCAATATATCAGCACTGTCATCTCCTAATGGTTAAAAAGTGATAAGTGTCTTGTTTTGTTTGGAAGATAAAAGCAGCGTTTTTGGGTTTTTTTTTTTTTTTTGTCAGATTAACCCATAAAATAGTATAATGTTCATCAGTGATGTTAGGGAGGCTGCTTCATTTGAGGGCAGGAACAAACTCTAGGTTAGCTGCTTGTTTTGAGTATTTGAATAGAACCTGAGGATTATATAGTGTTAGTCTAGAAGGCTGCCTCATTTTGGCACTGTGATACGGAATTTGTTTTTTGTCTTTGTTTGATAGTTGCCAACATTTTACAAGGTCTCTCAAATGTAAGTTCTGATTCCTTGACTTGAGCCCCCTCCCCCTTTTTTTTTCCTGTTTAATTTGCTATTTTCTTTTCTCCTCAGGTGAAAAAGTTTACATTTTATGATGTGCTTTTGGATTTTATACTGCTGGATGCCTTTGATGATTTGGAGAATCCTCCCAAATCTGTTGTGGCTGTCGTTCAGAACCAGTGGCTCTCAAATGGCTTCAAAGAAACCGTAAGTCCAAATATTCTGAATATGTATGCTGTTCCAACCAGTTGAGGCTTTTTAGCGTCCAGGTCATTTCTTCCAAAAGATAAAATTGCTATAATCATGTTTTGTACCCCATTTTATTTTTCCTGCCTCTTATTTTCTTATTATTCTTTCCTCCTCTTTATTATTATTATTATTATTATTATTCTTTCCTCCTCTTTATTATTATTCTTTCCTCCTCTTTTTTTGCTCTTTCCTCCTCCTCTCTTTTTTTATTATGCTCTTTCCTCCTCCTCCTCTTTTTTATTATGCTCTATCCTCCTCCTCCTCCTCTCTTTTTTTATTATGCTCTATCCTCCTCTTTTTTTTTCTCTTTCATGTTCTTTCATTTCCTTCAAATGTATAAAAAATGTTATTGACTATTTCTGCAGGTCAGCAACAATAAAAGCAAAAGTTATCAGTTCAATTCAAAATAAAGACTATGAATATTCATTGTTTACATTTTTTATTATTATCACTTCTCCTCTTCCACCTAATAACATGACACTTCTCACTGTCAAGCCATTTTGTATTTATAAATAGGGGGGAGCCTACTCTGTAATTAACCAAACTCCAAATATATTTAAAATTAGCTTTACTTGTATTTCTACTAATACCTTATCAGCAGGAGTCTAGTGTAGAATGATTTTGAAAAACATGTGCTAACAATTGAAAAAATAATTTGTAACAAAATGTGGGCATGTTCATGATAGAAAAGGAAAAAAATATTTTTGGTATAGGATACTCAAGAAATAACATTAGATATCTTTTTGTCAAAAAAAATCATTTTTTTCTGTCATTATTGATTGAATTTTATTTTCAGCTTCAGTAACAAACATAATTATACAAAAATTGGAAAATCATTTACTTTATTCATTCAATTAGTTTTTATTAAAGTCTTATCTTAAGAAAAATCTTGATCTAATGATGCACACAAGCAGAATTCAGATAATAATGCAGAAATACTTTCTGTATCTAGAATTTATTTTATTTATATTTTCATGGTAATTCTTCTGATGAACTTTCCTTTTTCATACCTTGACTTTACAAATTTAAGCACAGTAATAGATCATAGGTCTTATCATTTTACAGTCAAAATGGCTAGATGTAACTGTAAGTTCTATGTCAACAGTTTCTTCTATTGCACTTCTCGCTTGTGGAACTCTCTTCTGGCTTTTTGCTTTCCAGTTAACTTTGGCTATCTTTTGTTGTCTTAATTTCTGTTCTTTTATTGTTCTCTCTCCTTAATGTTTCTCTTTTCTGATATTCTTTCACATTCAGTAACCTCTTGCATCTTAGTGGCTCTATTGCCTTGCTTGGGGTGAAATGATAGAATAATATGTATAAAGTAAATGTATTGCTGATGATTGGTAATGTTTTTATTTTTATTGAAGGCCTTGTCAACGGCTGTCTGGTCAGTGCTGAAAGCAAAAAGGAAAATGCTAAAGGTAAAGAAACCTTTTCATTTGGGGCACATGAGTAAGGCCCATAATACTTAAGAACAGTTTAACAGATGTTTTATTGTGGAACTTTGTAGCATGGTTATATATATATATATAAGTTTATGGAAAACTAGGTAATCCGTATGGGTAGACCCAAGGAGGATAAAATCTAGAGAGCTCAATGTAAATCCAGAGCAAATAATTTAAATAAAAACAGACCACTTTAAGGTTCCATGTAATAAATTATTTCACCACAGCCCTTTTAAAGGACTGCAGATCATCAGACTTTACTTCCAAAGGTTGAAACGAAAATGAAAATCTGTTTTTTTTATTTAAAATATATATATATATATATATATATATATATATATATATATATTACACACACAAATGTCAGAAAGAACAAATAGAGTAAAATTCCACTCTTTGTAACATTTAAAAAAGTGCTCAATACAAATTAGAGCAACATATTATTTTTATTGTAAGAGAATCATTTTTTATAATAATATATATATATATATATATATATATATATATATATATAAGGTCATCCCATAAGTTCTGTCCGAATTTTAACTTTGTTAAAATGAATGAAATTTAAAGAGTATTTTATGTCTAATGGAGCTTAACATTATTTTTATGTTTAGATGCATTTAAACTGATCAAATTTTATTTCAGAGAACAATAAAATTAAATTTTGTTTGATTAAAACCCTGCTAACATGGAAGTACCCAATAATCATTTGAGGCATATAATGCTTTATGAGTTCAAGAAAGGAAACTCAGCAGCCGAAGCGGCTAGAAACATTCACTCAGTTTATGGAGAGGAATGTGTGAATGAAAGAACTTGCAGAAGATGGTTTGCAAAATTCACAGGTGGAGATTTCACCCTTGAAGATGAAGATCGAACCGGATGTCCAGTTGAGTTTGATGAAAAGCTTCTTGAAGCAGCCCTTGAAGAAAATCCTGCTTTATCAGTTGAGGAATTGGCAGTGGTTCTCAGTTCAAACCATACAACTGTTCATCGTCATCTTCAACAACTTGAAAAAGTTCCTAAACTTGGAATGAATTGTCTGAAAACAACCTCAAATCCCGAGTTGACATCTGCTCTTCTCTCCATTCTCGCCAACTTGTTTCACCTTTTTTGGATAGACTTGTGACTGGCGATGAAAAATGGATCTTTTATTGAAATGTTAAGCATCATAGACAGTGGCTTGGTAAAGGGGAAGGGCCACAGCCGAGAATGGAACTTCATGGGCAAAAGGTTCTTCTTTCAATCTGGTGGGATCGCCAATGAATAATCCACTTTGAATTCTTACCACCTAATGCAACAATTAATGCTCAAATGTAGTCAGCAATTAGAGTGTTTGAACCAAGCTTTGAGGAAAAAAACACCTGCTCTAGTGAATCGAAAAGAGGTGATGTTTTATCAGGACAATGCACGACCCAACACAGCAAGAATTACGTCACAAAAGATCAAAGAACTTGGTTGGGAGAAAATTCCTCATCCACGTTATTCTCCTTCAGACTACCATTTGTTTCGTAGTTTACAGAATCATTTGGAAGAAACAGCTTTTGTAACACAGGAAGAGGTTAAAACTGACATTTGTGAGTTCCTCGAATCGAAGCCAAAAGAATTTTACATTAATGGAATTAGCAAGCTTGTTAATAGATGGAAAGAAGTCATAGATAATCAGGGAAAATACATTGTTGATTGAATCTGTAATTAAATGTAACATTTGGTCACTTGTTTTCTTTATTCAAAATTCGGACAGAACTTATGGGATGACTTGATACTTAGGAACAGTTTAACAGATGTTTTATTGTGGAACTTTGTAGTTAGATTCCCAGCATAGTAATATATACATATAAGTCATTTTTTTTAGTGGATACCCATATTTGAGTAGATGCCCTCTTTATTTTATTTTGTCTAATGGCCTGAATATTTGAGAATTCTTATTAAAGAAAAATGTGCCCTCCTTTAGATATTGGTTGGTTAAAGCACATCTGATCTGATCTGATGACAGTTTCTCATGCAAAGGCAGGGCAAAGAGTGGAGGGTGCTGGTTGATGTAATAAAACACTGTTTAAAATAAACTGGGTATCCATTAAAACAACTTTTAAATTGATAAAAATATCTGTCTATATTTCTGAGATGAGGTATTATGTACACTATTTACATTATTTGAACTATTGTCCTCTTTTTTGTCGCCATATTTATTACAACATTTCGGCTGTTGTACGCTCAGGCCTTCTTCAGGTGGTTAGAATGTCAAACTGAACCCTTTATTTCGCTTACTGGGTAGACTGTCCATTCTACGTGCCATGTCTAATGGATGTCAGTTATCCCCTGTTAAGTCCCTTCTCCAAGTTCTCCACTGCCTTAACCGGGTATTGAACTCATACTCTTTGGGTCCTGTCACTGGATCTAACTAATGCCTTTATCCACTGTGCCATGGTTCCTTGGGAACTAGAACTGTACCCCAGTGAGCGAAATAAAGGTTTGAGCTCAACATTCCAATCACCTGAAGAAGGCCAAAACATTGTAATAAATAGGGCGACAAAGATGAGGACAATAGTCCGAATAATGTAAATAGTGATAAAAATATCTTTGTATATATATAGCTTTATGACATACTATATTTATGGGTAAAACTGCTGGATATCAGAGATAGTGTATGTAGACTTAAGTGTGGACACTGAGATCAAAACCAAGTGGCAATAGTCTGTTTCAGACTTGACTGCAAACTTCAGGCTATGTGTCTGAAAATTGCGTTTGAGCATGAAGTGCACTGTCACCACTCAGTGTTGATCTCGGTGTCTGTTACAAGGATGCATTTCTGTAATAAGAAAGTCTCAATAAGGTTAAAATTTAAAGTAAGGGATTCTACCGAGTCCTACTTGTTAATACAAAAAGTTTTCTTTCATGAAGTAGTTGTAAAATAGAGAAATTAGAAATAGAATGTTTGGAAGATTCTAGATCATTCTAGTATATTCGAGAAAAATCTAGATGATTCGAGAAACATCTAGAAATATACAAATTAGGTGTTAGCTCCTATAAAAATGGGATTTTGGAAAAGGGTTGTCAGTTGATAAATGGGAATTTCTGCTGTTATCAACTCCGGCTTTTGATTCAAGGACTATAATATCCAGCCGAAAGAATCTCTATAAAAAGTTGCTGACCAACCAAAACCCAAAAGAGAATTTCATGGAACAAATTTGGTCAATGGAATTTTGACTAATTTTCATTGACCAAACTAAAAATTAATATTTATTTACACACCTTTGTGGATTTCCAAATATAGCACTTAGATTACTTCACTAGCCCGAAAGTGATAAAGATATTTGACTCACCTTCCTCCTCTCTCGTAACACTTCGCCAGTAACTCTGTGTTTTATGTTTTTGTAGGCCACAATTGTATATCGTGTATATATTTTATGTTGTGTTTTAGTAAATTAAATATTTGTTTGTGATTTAGCTCTGTGTTGTGGTAAATCATTTTTTTTCCTTTGTTACAATTATCAACACGTAACAGTGTACACTTTTATATTTTATTACACACAAATAGCAACCCTCTAGATTTAATAATTAGCAAGTTTCATGTCTTCTTTAGTTAACTTGTACTAAGTTAGGATGTCGAAGCTGTTTAGCCCATTAGTGCCATGACATTCAACTGTTTAGAGATGGTGTTACATAAAATTTCAAACCTACCTGCCCTAAGATTAGACAGCAAAGTACATTAGACAAAGTGTTAAAATTATTAAGAAACTTTCTACAGTAATGAGTTCAATTAATTTTTTAATTGAATATATGATAAAACCTTTCAGGGAGAGAAAGTCACTCTGGCTCAAAGTGATTTAGTACATTACTTTTGCAAAAGGCATTCAAATTTAAGTTTTGGACAGTCCTTCAAAATCCAGAGGCTAGTTCCCTGCAAACTTTTGGCCTCAAGTGTACACTCACAAATACACTTACCTCTTGTAATTGCATGTTTTTACATATTACACATGCACAAACATTATAACAAATTAATAATTTACTCAATAAATTAATTTGACTGAATTAAATTAATAAAAGCAAATACTTTGAAAGAAACTGCTTGATTATACAACATCTCTCATTTCCTATGAAGATTGTTGCTTTGACAATGGGCAATTATTAAAAAAACAATAGGTATAAAAAATAAAAATAAAAACCTAAGTAGTAGAAAGGTGAATGAAGTCCATTGGCTTCAGCATCCACATGCATCAGATGTCTAAAATTTAAACTAAAGCATTACTGTATCTTCAACATTACTTGATGCAAATGTTTGTAGAGATAGGGATGAAATACAATAATGAAAAGATTCTATTGACAAAACTATTAATCTGAAAATGTCTTTTTGAAGGATGAAACTTTTTTTTTTTTTTTTTTTTTGTCAATTTTAGATTTGTTATATCTTCCATGCCATCAAATAATAAATTAAGAAAAAAATATTTTTTGCTTTGATTTTTAATTGGTTCTATTAAAAACAAACAATTTATAAAAGTGTCCTGGGTAAGACGATAAACTACGTCCAACAACAAGGCCTCTGATCAAGAGGTTTTGAGGAGCGTGAAACCACCTCTTAATTGCTGATGTTCCCAGGTCCACCCTGACCTGGGGTGGTAGCATCTGTTAGGGTCCCAGCTATGAGCAAATAGTTGACACCCAAACTTGTGTAAAAATAGGTTTTAATACCAGAAATACTTTGTAACAAAAAAATTATTACCAGCAATAATTTTTGAAGGATAAATTATTATCGGCAATACTTTAAAAAAAAAAAATACCAGCTATACATTCTTTGGAAAAAAAAATATGACTAGCTATAGATTTCTTCAATGAGGAATATTCTCAGAAATAGATTTTTGAAGAAAAAAATATTACCAGCAATAAAAATTTTGTCGGCATTAAATAACCCATTGAGGTTGATATGCCACAAGACAAAAAAACAAAAAAACAATTTATATAAAATTAAAAATTTATAAAATAAAATTTAGTAATTTTTTTTCTGAATTTTAAAATCTATAAAATTCAGAAATTTTTATAAATTTTTATTTTATAAATTTTATACATGCCAAATTTAATGATAAAATATTGAAATTTAGTTTAATATTAATTTTAAAACACTGTTATGGTTTCAAATCATTATTAAGTTTTTACACGTTCAGTTTAATGAGTAATTTTAAAAGCCACTAAATTCTAATTCAAATCCAGATTTGAAACTGGCTCAAAAGACTCTTCTTGCACAAACTGATGGTGGCAAATTTCAAATGTGCAAGCCAATCTGAATAAGAGTTTGATCCTTACTGGGTGACCCATAATTTCACAATACAAATCAATCTGTGCTAATCTTTCTTCTTTGTTTTTACCTTTCAGTATCCATCTGGTTTTCTTTCTTACTTCTATTCCATCTCTGAACAAATTAGCCCTGTGCTTGTGTGGGGGCTTTTGGGACCACCATCAGAACTCAAAACTGTTTGCTGTTCCTTCAAGGTAAGTCCACTTCTTCTGTGATAAACTCTTAGCCCCTAAATGAAAAAAAGGGATTTAAAATTCTTGGACCTGACAAAAATTATTTTTCAAAATAGCATTCAAAGGACCTTCAGTAAACTGTTGTGCTGTAATGATTAGCTTGTTTCATTATCAATAGGGGCACCAGAGTTGTAGCCTTTTACCAAACTAGGTGATGCCATGTAAATTATAGCATTCAAAGAACATAAATTCTAACTTAGTTTTATTGTATATATGATATATATATATATATATATATATATATATATATATATATATATATATGTAGTGCTGGTATTAATAAAATAGTGCTCAATGTAATACAACAGAGCTATTAAGTATATATTAGGTTGTCCCAAAAGTTCGTAAACACTTGCAAAAGATTGAAATTTTACTCACCAAGTAATAACAAAAACAACAAAAATTATTCCTCAAAATAAAGACCATTATTTTCCAAGACTTTCTGCCATCAATCTGCAAGCTTTCGAATCTGACGAAAGTACCATTCAGCCAGCTTCGAATCAAAGAATTCTGACACGCTTCCTCGACTTCATCAAACGAATCAAATCGGCGGCCCTTCAGAAAGTGTTGCATTGAGCGGAAAAAGCCATAATCTGATGGAGCACAGTAAGGACTGTAGGCTGGATGTGGTAGAACCTCAACGCCTTCCAGTTCTTCAAACTTGTCTTTGGTCTTCCTGGCGGTGTGTGGCTTGGCATTGTCCTGCTGCATCAAAGCGTGCTTTCGGTTGATCAGAGCCGGGTACTTTTGCTTCAACTTTTCGTAGACCCGCTCCAGTTGCTGACAGTAAAGTTCGGCACTGATGGCATGACCATTCAGAACCAACTCAAAATTCACGATTCCTTCAAAGTTCCACCAAACGCATAACATGACTTTCTTGCCCTTTCTGAACCCATCGCTTGTCTCGATTGTGCTGGAATGTGTTGCATAAAAATTCAATTTTTCGCAAGTGTTTACAAACTTTTGGGACAACCTAATATTAAGAGATATACATATTATCCCTCACAGATAACATGACTCTGTCACAATGCAATCTTCAGTCTATACTCAGCACCTGAAGATTGCATTATGCATGAAAACTCTAAGTTGGATTATCAGTAATATATATATATATATATATATATATATATATATATATATATATATATATATATACACACTGAACAGCCACTCATCTAGATTCTTTTGTACTAATGTGGGGTGTCCCCCAGAGCTCCATCCTTGGTCCTATCATGTTTTTAATTTTCATTAATGACCTTCCTGATGGCATTAGTTCTAATGCTGATCAGGCCAACAAGGTCAGATATTCAAAACAACCTCAAGTCCATTGTTAACTGGGGCAAAGGATGGCTTGTTAATTTTAATGCCTCCAAAACTAAACTTCTCTTCATTAATCATATGAGAAACCACTTGCTGCCTTCCATTAGCATGGCTGATGCTAACCTCCAGTGACTCGTTGCACTTTCTTGGGCTAAGCTGGAAAGAATATATTGAATCCATTGCTAGGTCAGCTGATAAGAAATATAGATATAACAGAATGATCTCTGAGAACAACCATGAGACTGCCAATTTCACAAATACTTTAAATATTGTGGATAGGGTGAGGGAAGGTACATACCAAAGATGCATACATTTTTTTTAAGGACCACAAACCTAACTTTGCTAATAATATACATTAATAAATCCAACAAAAACTGAAGTCTAATCTCAAAAAATATATATAAAAAAAAATTACCAATAAATTACTAATTACAACCAGTTCTCATCTCTGGAAAGATTTGTCAGATATGATCAATTGATTTGTCAATATGAGTGACAAGGAAAGAGCTACATTTATTAAATTTGATATCATAGATTTCCATTTCTCCGTCTCCAAGAATCTCTTGGTTAATTGTATTTGCAAAAAACTAAATGGAGATCACTAATTAGCAGACTAATATCATCTTAACAGTTTGGAAATCACTTTTAGCTCTTAACAATTCCACCTGGACTAAGTGCCTTAATGACAATTTTGATATTCCTATGGGGACATATGATTCAGCTCAGGTTGCTGATTTAGTATGTTTATATATTTTAGATACATTTAGTAGAATTATAGATTCCAAACAGATAGGCCTATATAGAGATGATGGACTCATTTTCATCTCCAATAGTAATGGTCCACTAGCAGTAAAGATACAAAAGAAAATCATTAGGGTCTTTAAATTACTAGGGTTTACAATTTGAGATTTCTTCTAACCATAAAATGGTTCATTATCTAGACTTTACCCTTAACCTCAATGGTAAAACCTTTAAACTATACCATAAAGAGAATGCAACCCCCACCTATATGTTAATTCTAACCACCCCAATGCCATTGTGAGACAGATACCCACCATATATCATCCAACATAAGCATCTTTAATAAAAACAAAGAATTGTATGAAAATGCTCTCCATAAAAGTAGTTTTAAAAATAAATTCTTTTATCTAACTCCCATAAGTAACACTGAAATATCTAAAGTGAAATGTAGACACAGAAAAAGAAAAATTATATAGTTCAATCCTCCTCTTCTACAAACTGTCAAATATTAATATTGGACAGTATTTTCTAAAGTTAAACACTTTCATAAAAACAACCCTCTAAGTAAGAACTTCAATAGGAAAGCAATTAAAATTAGCTACTCCTGTATCAATAATCTGTATAAAATTATCAACTTGCATAATAACTATATTTTAAGAAATTTCTATGGGATAAACAACAAGCCTGGTATTGAACCCTCCCGTTATTGTAGATATAAAGAAAATTGTTCAATAGAGGGCAAATGCAGATCTACTAGGGTTGTATATCAAGCAACCATTTCTCTTCCCCGCAACAAAAAAAATACGAAAAATTATAATGTTTACATTGGAATTACGGCGGGGGAATGGAAACAGATTTTATACCCATAGGCACTCTTTTAATAACCCTAAATTAAAACACCAGACATCTCTTTCTTGGAAATTGAAGGAGAAAGGTTTGAACCTACAGATAGGTTGGAAGATTATAGCTTCCATACATACTCCTAATAGTCTTAGAGATAGGTGTAACTTATCTTTAGGAGATAAAATTAAAATAATAAAATACAATAATCAAAGCCAACTATTGAATCAGAGAAATGAATTAGTATTAAAATGTCAACATAAAAACAAATTCAAATTTCCATAATATAAGTCTTACGTTATTAGCTGCTATATTTCTCTAACACTTCAAATGTCAAATGTATAACTAATTCTAATTTCTATATTTCCATTTTTACACCAGATTAATTATATCTTGTAATTGTCTTCTTTTCTAAGAACTCTATTTCCTTATATTACTTACATATCTTTATATATTTTAGTGATGTTTTTGAATATAACTTTGTATTTCTAAGTACAATTTGTTTTAGATTTAACTTATCTTTAAAGTTAAATGTTTTTTAATTTATTTATTTCATTATATTTTTTATTTTTAAATGTATAATTTATTTTAACTTATATTTTTATTTCTTTAATATAACCCATTGATTTTATATTACATATAACTCATTTTTTTTAAATATATTTAAAAATAAGATATATTAAACAAGTTATAACTTGTCATTGGAATACTATTTTTAAGTATGATTTTGTATTTTTAAACATAACTTTATCCATATATTTAAAAAAATTTTAAAACCCCTTTTTATTCCTCTCTTAGTTTTAAATGTTAATTTCATTCTTCATATAACCCCCAATTTAATGTCATAAGGTTTAATTTTATAAAACCTCTTCCCTTTAAGACTAATACCTCCCACACTCATCTGACTACTGACTCATGCCTTCCATCTGACTGAAACATTGAAATGGCAAAATTCTGTATTAGTTTTTTGATTTTTGTAGCTTTCATAGTTAAATTTCTAATTCAGACATGAACTCAGTCTTATTCAACCCTGGTATAGACAGCCGTATTTTACTTTTACATCTGTTGAAATAAGCTTATTCCCCATATGAGATGATTTTTGGATTTTATTGTGTATGTAATTACTTGCTCTGTAATAATAAATACATTGAGCTCTTTTTGTGGATCAGTTTTAATATTTTATATTACTTGGTGAATTATATACCAATTGATTTATTACCTTTTACTATATATATATATATATTACACACACATTATTTCAGTTGGTTGATTCTCTTACCTTCGTCAAGTTGATTTGTTTCTTTAGAGAATTTTAGTATTTGTAAAACTAATCATTAATATTTTCTTTGTCCAAAACAATGATTTTAAAATTTTAGATGAAAATCTAACTTGAGTAATTATTTTTATCTTTTTTAAGACATGGTATAGTCGTCTCTTAAAAACGTAGATTTTTTTTTTGTTTTGATCATTTTGGCTGTTATGCTGCACCTCTTAAGATTCTAATCATAGAAAATTGTTTTTGGTTTTTCTGATTTACTTTCCCCCCCCCCCCCTGGTTGTTTGCTTTTCTTTCCTTTTCTGTTTTGCTCAGCTTCAATTTTTTATCTACTTTTTTTATGTTCAGTCATATTTTCGTCTCTAAGTATTTTCAGGTTTTATTTTCTACCTCTTCAGGTTTTTTTTTTTTTTTTTTTTTTTTTTTTAGGTGGGGGGGTCCCACACTTATGTTTTAAAACGTTTGCTACATAAAAACTAATTGATTCTTTTTCTTTTTAACTTTTAGGATCTGATCTACAGATTCATGAAGGACATATTCAGTTTTGAAAAAGTGCGGTTTACCAACCAAGAAGAGCTTGCAAAGGACTTACTGGACATCACTCGGGAACATGCCCTGTTGGCCGAACAGGCTGTCTGCCTACCCACTCACTAGGGGTGGGAAGCATATGTTGGACAAAGAATGATTGTGAAGAAGAAGAGGAGAAGAAACTCTGGATTTTTGTCCTCCTTAGAGTGGGGGGGTGAATCTGACCAGTGGGCATTCCATTTAAGGCTGTGATGGTCAGCATATATGGAATCATTATTGGCTGGCTTTATTTGACTAGTTACAAAATATAAATGACCACACACACAATTTTGTTTAGAAACAGATGTAAATGCAAATCACACACACAAAAGAGAAATGCATTTCACTGTATATATTTAATATATGGAGACCAAAAACAATGGGGGATGGGAGTGGTGGCAAATAGAACAACATAGCCGGACTTTTTTTTTTTTTTTTTTTTTTTGCCTTTATTGAAGAACTACTTTTAGCAATATATGTATGTAGATCCCTTTTTCATGAGAGCTAACAAATCATATACATTTTATCCATCTGAGAAAGGGAATTATTTTATTTTTTTATATTTATTTTTCTCTTTCCCTCAACTTCTTTTTACCCTCCTCCCTAACTTTCTTTTCTTCTTTTTGTTTTTCTTTTTTATATTACCAAGAGAAGAATAGGGAAAAAAAAAAAAAAAAGAAAAGAAAAGAAACATTTCGGTTCACTGACCAATGGTCGTGTTAATTTACATTAATAAAACAACTAAATGTGAACTTACACGGTTAAAACTGCAACTGTCCATAAGTATCTCTGAATGCTTACCTATGTGTATACAATTAAATGACAATGTTGGTACATAGATATAAAAACATATTGTGGACACATTTAAACATGTTTGCCCATAAGATGGAGTGTCAAAATGAGGGTTTTTCCCTTGACACGGCTATCATTTTAACTATCCTTCACTCTTCGGCAATGTTTATTGTTTTAAAAAGTGATGATTTAATATTATAATAAAATCTAAACATATGAAAGTGAATTTATACATTTTCTTTGTTCTTGAGAATTGACAACAAAAATAATAATCACTATTAGATTGTTTATTGGAATGGTTGGCAAAAACATCAACTAATTGCTAATTGATTCAAACTTTATAAAATGGTAAATAATAAAGATCTTCTTATAGTTGGTTTACATATTTTAATAATTTAGTAAATGTTTATAAATATATGAATAAAAATTGTTTTCATATTTATTTCTTTATAAATTGGTAAATGATAAATATTGCATTCTATTAGTTTTAATTGTATTCATTTTTATGTTGTAAATATAAAATGATTCTTGTAAATAAACAATCTAATAAATAAATAGTGTTTAATATTTTTGTTGTAAATTCTCAAAGAACAAAGAAAATGTATAAATTCACTTTCATCAGATGTTTACGTTTTATTACAATTCTAATCTTTGGCAATGTTTATTGTTTTAAAAAGCAAAGAGTGAAGCAGTTAAAAAAAAAAAAAAAAGCAGTGACATGTGGGAGAAAAATGTCCCTTGGGAACATTTATCTATGTTTTCCAACATATGAATGCATTTATGAAATTGAGCCATACAAACACAATATTGCATTGTCTGTATGTCCCTCTTTCTCATATACACTGTCTGATTTTCTTATGCAAGTCAATGTCTTCACAATAAAATTAGTATTAACCAACATCAATTAGTAAAACTTTTAGAATATATTTACATTTTATGTGAGTTTCAGCTTATAAAATAGTAGATTAATATTGTTATAATATTATATAATATATATATATATATATATATATATATATATATATATATATATATATATATATATATATATATATAAAATAAGGTTTAATAAACATAATATCTGTCCTTATTAAAAATGTAGATATTATATGGGTGTGTCAGGATTTACTATGGAAACACACATTTACTTATAAATAAATTCCTTTGAGATTATATATATATATATATATATATATATATATATATATATATATATTAGTGCTCAATGTGTGTGTGTGTATGTATATATATATATATATAAAATTCCCAAGAGGATAGAATCCAGGTAGAACTCAATGTCCAGGACAGAGTAAGAATATGATATAAAAGGCTCAAACACTAATATTCCATGGTTATAATTTATTATATTGGAATTGTAATTACGATCCAATTCATCAGATCTACAAATTCAATTAGTGTTTGAGCCTTTTATATTATATTATATATATATATATATATATATATATATATATAAAAAGTGAACATTGAAGTTAACACTCAGAGGCGACAGACTGTTTCATGTTGAATGCAATCAGGCCTTGTGTTTAGCATGAAACAGTCTGTCACCTCTGAGTGTTGATTTCAGTGTTCACTTTTATATTTACATACATTCTATCTCTGATATTGAGCACTTTATCCCATAAATATAGAACGCCTTAAAACTATATTCCTTCATATATATATATAATGTGCGATAGAAATGTGTAATTAAGAGAATATCCTATATACCTGAATTAATTATTTCCCATGTTAATATGGGTGCCTTGACATTCTACAACATTCATCTGTCTTTCAACCATTGATTTTGTTAATTTTTTTCTATTGTTTACTTTCCAGAAATTTTTGCTTCAATAGTTTCCTATTTCGGTATAAATCTCTTTTAATGATCAAACACAAGTTTTCTATTAAGATCAATAACTGTACAGGCTGAGGTGCCATTCTTTTATTTCTATGTCCTTGTCTTCTTTTTGGGCAAGGTGGGCAATAATCTGCTTTGTAAAATGTGAATAAGCATCGTCTTTTATGAATATACATTTTAGCTTCAGAACTTCTTGCTTTTACCCATCCAAAAAAACATCTTACAGTAATTTTTTGCACTTATCCAGACCCCATTGTCAACTTTACTGCCGATACTACTTGTCTAAAATCTTCTTCAATCTCTCCATTGTTGACTTCTAAGAAATCAGTTTTCATGTACTACTTCACCCGACTTGGTTCCCTTTGTGATGTCCTCTTAACACTTTAGCATTTAAACTGCCATGTAAATATCGGTTGGCAAAGTTTTCCTGTTTCTATGACTTCCTGCATTATCTGTGATGACATCATATGCTGTGTCAAAGTATATATGGGGCTGGTTACGGTAGGTTGAACATAGATAGCCGATATTTATGGAGAAGATTGAACGCTAAAGGGTTTTGTTGCTTTAGCCAATGTTTTTCATCTTCCTCATCTACAGTGCTTGCTCCTTTAAATATTTTCTTGCTTATTACCCCCCCCCACTTATTTCTCAAACCTTTTTTTTGTTGCATTATTAAAAATGGGAGGGCTTTTTCTTGAGGTTAGATCTTTCTTAAGACACGTCTGTATCTCTACCTCACTCTATGTGTGTGTATATATAATTATCCACACAGATTACCAAAACCTTCACTACCTTTATTTATATATATATATATATATATATATATATATATATATAGTAAGGTAATGAAGGGTTTGGTAATCTGTGTGGATAATTCCAGAGAGCTCAATGTAAAACTATATCAAATAATAATTAAAAAATAGACAACCTTAAGTTTCCATGACTATAATTTATTTCCCCACAAAATATATTCTTCCTGGTTATGTGACTTGTTGAGCCAGGAAAAATATATTTTCTAGAGAAATAAATTATAGTCATGGAAATTTGAGGTTGTCTATTTCTTAATTATTATATATATATATATATAAAAACAAACTTAAATTCAAAACCAGACAACTTTAAGGATCCATTATGTGATTTTTTTTATTTTTTTTTTTTTGTTCCTCAGATCACATTTCCAAGCATAAAAAAAATGGTTTAAAAATTTACATTTTATTATTTTTATACAAGCTTTTGGGGTGTTGATGTAAGGTGATAGAGAGAAGGTGAGGAGGAAGACAGATATGGTCAAAATTAGAGAATGAAGGGAGAGATAGGAATAATTTTAAATCTATTTTTAAGATTCTTAAGATTAAGGGAGGGGGATAAGGACCAGACATTGATCTATTTAATAATTTATCTGACAGGAAAAGAAAAAAAAGATATGGAGAATCAGGGGTGGGGAAAGAAGAAAAGGAAGAATAAATTAACATATATAGGCATATTGCAGTTAATTTCAAAATTACAGATTAATATAATTTAAAATAATGTCAAGCATTAACTATAAAGAATACCAACAAAATAAAATAGGAGAAAAGGAAAAATAATATGAATATAAAATAAAAGAAAAAATATTAATATTACTAATAACAACAAATAGTTAAAAAAAATTAATATTTAAAATCTAATGTTTGAAAATAAAAAAAATATCTATTATACATATTTATTGAGAATATGAGAAATTGTCAAGTTATGTAATGAAATTTCCCACAATCAAAAAAACTAATGATAAACATTTCTAATTCAGATTATCAGTTGAAATTCACATGGGATATTTAAGGTGTTTTGTTTTTTTAAATTGAGTTCACCCAATGCAAGGCAGTAAATCCACTAAGACATAAGGGGCTACTGAATGTGAAAGAATTAGAAACAGAAACATTACTCTTTTTGTTCTTGCTCATTAGTAATCAGGTGGACAGTAGATAGCAATTGACATTGCATTTAAAATTTTTAAAGATTAAAATTGGCTGGAAAGCATGGAGCCAGAAGAGTTCCACAAGCGAGAAAAGAAACCGTTAGCATAGAACTTACGGTTGCATCTCGCCAGCTGAACTGTAAATTGATGGGATCTTGATGCCAGTCTAGTACTGCGCTTAAATTCTACGTATCATAGTGAAAAGGTCACCTGAGCAAGAAAATAATGAAAATGTTTTACCAACATTGGTTTGCTAATAACAACATTATTGTAAAAAAAAAAAAAAAAAAAAACATTGACTTGCATAATGAAATCTAACAGTGTATAATTATGAGAAAGTGATGAAAAGTTCCCCGCCTGGGCTGAGAAATTTTCATCACCCTCTATGTCTATGCACAAATGGCTTTTAAAACTGCAGCTAAAATATGTAGGGGTAATTTTCAAGTCATTTGTGTGTTTACTGATTTTTTTTTTTAATACCTA